TAATAATAATTGAGTTAAATTGTTAATCATTTTTACTTTTCAAAATTTCAGGCGTTAGAGAAGAACCGGTTGTTTATGGTGGACTACCATGACATATACTTACCGTTTCTTGATCGAATCAATGCGCTCGATGGACGCAAGGCTTACGCAACTCGAACCATATTTTTCTTGACTCGTCTCGGTACACTCAAACCTATAGCCATCGAGCTAAGCCTCCCTCCACAATCAGACTCAAACCACAAGTCCAAGCGCGTGGTCACACCTCCTGTAGACGCAACCTCAAACTGGACGTGGCAGCTAGCTAAGGCCCACGTTGGGTCAAATGACGCTGGCGTCCACCAGCTTGTGAACCACTGGCTACGTACCCATGCGTGTTTGGAGCCGTTTATACTGGCTGCTCATAGACAGTTAAGCGCGCTGCATCCGATATACAAATTGTTGGACCCTCACATGAGGTACACTTTGGAGATCAATGCCGTGGCACGACAGACTTTGATTAGTGCGGATGGTGTGATTGAGTCTTGCTTCACCGCTGGTCAATACGGTTTGGAGATTAGTTCCGCTGCGTATAAGAATCACTGGCGGTTCGATATGGAAGGCCTTCCTGCTGATCTCATCCGAAGGTAAATGTATCTCTCAGTAACTAACTTTTTACATTTGGCATATAGTATTAGTAATGTAATTTTATTGTATGGCCAATTTTTGTTTTTCTTATAACAATTATTGTATAGAAACTAACAAATTATTTTGTTGAATTTAATTTTCAGGGGAATGGCTGTTCCTGACCCAACACAACCACATGGACTTAAACTACTTGTCGAAGACTATCCATACGCCAACGATGGTCTCTTATTGTGGTCGGCGATCCAAACCTGGGTCCGAACCTACGTGGAGCGTTATTACCCTAACGCGAACGTAATCCGAACCGACACAGAGCTCCAAGCTTGGTACTCCGAGTCAATCAACGTAGGTCACGCCAACCACCGTGACGCCGAGTGGTGGCCGGAGCTTTCCACCGTAGATGACCTTGTCTCAGTCTTAACCACCATCGTCTGGCTCGCCTCCGCACAACACGCTGCTCTCAATTTCGGACAGTATCCTTATGGTGGTTACGTTCCAAACCGGCCGCCGTTGATGCGACGGTTGATTCCCGACGAGTCAGATCCCGAGTTCGCGAGTTTTCTCGAAGATCCGCAAAAGTATTTCTTCTCGTCGATGCCGAGTTTGTTGCAGACGACGAAGTTTATGGCGGTGGTTGATACATTGTCCACGCATTCGCCGGACGAGGAGTATATCGGGGAGAGACAACATCCATCGATATGGACAGGAGATGCTGAGATCGTCGATGCGTTTTATGGATTCTCGGCGGAGATCGGACGGATAGAAAAAGAGATTGAGAAGAGGAATCGTGATCCTAGCCGTAGGAATCGGTGTGGGGCCGGAGTTTTGCCTTACGAGTTAATGGCTCCGAGTTCCGAACCGGGAGTTACTTGTAGAGGTGTCCCAAATAGCGTATCTATTTAGATTTGTTTTCAAACAAATTTAAATATGGTGTAGTTATTTTTTTGGCATTAAATTGTAAATAAGCATCCTCTTCAAGGATCTTATAGAACTCGAGTATGTTGATTATTTGTGTGTACATAGATAAATAAAAAAGGTAATGGTACAAAATCATCTAAATTTGGTGTATTATTTGCAGAAACTACAAAGATTAATTATCAAAATGTGGTGCTAGTGGTTAGTGGTAAATGCTTGGTTTAACTTTCTTTAGGACGAATGATTTATTTCGGTAAAAAAATCAAAAAGCAAATTAGAACGTATAACTTGTTTGCTCTTTTAATTTTTTGCCGTCGATATTTTATGAGTCGTCGAAGTTCAAATAAATAAATATTTATAAAGAACGAACTAAACAAGAATTAGGGTTTTGAATATTCTCCTCGGTTATGGATCCGCAGAACGTTAAGAAGATATCTGAGGAACCTGATTCGAAACGCTCGAAGTTGGATCACGAGGAGGAAAAATGCGAGGAGATGCCCTCTTCGTCTAGCGACGACTCCACGGATTACGATTCGGATGATGTTCGATTGTACGATGAAGAATTCAAAAGACAAGGGGTAATATGATTTGTGATTTGTATGGTTTCACTTTGATCATTTCGATTTTTGACTTTTGTTATTCTTTATTTTTTACCATCTCAAAAGGCGTACGATTTTGACTCTTCGAGAGTAGGCCGCATTGTGGGTCATTACCCTGTCATATTCGAGGAAAGCGACTTAGCTGACGAACCGGAAACAGACGGAGAATTGATCAATCGATTATCGAAGACGGCTCTTGATAAATACAATCATGATAAGGTATGTGTTAGCTAATCTTACTTTTATTATACACAAGAACAAATCTCTAGGTATTTATGTTTGATTCTGTCCTGTAGGGAAACAATCTTGAATTTGTGAAAGCAGTGAAGTCTAATTGGAGTATTGGAGAGGGGACACATTTTCTCAATCACATTCGAGGCCAAGGATGCTTCTCAAAGTGAGCCTATACCTTTCCACGCTCAGGTTGGTTACTTTCCATGGAGAACAACTGTCTACGATGTCAAGCCCAAACCATGATCTTAGATAGGTAAGGACTCGATCGGAAATTAAGTCATTGATCCTTCCTCTCTCTTCTCTATTCTCTAGAATCGGTTTAACTGTATTGTTCCTTCTCCATACAAGTTATTTAGTTGACACAGTTATTGGGATAAGCTTGTCCATCTTTCAATTCAAGCCATGTGTATCTCTAAACTTGTATTGCGATAAGTTGTGTAATTGATTGTTAAGCTTCGTTTGGATCTTTTGGTGACGTTGTGAGAAAGGTAATTCTGGTGGATACACAAACGTATAACCAGTTATTAAATGACTTCACATGGAAGTGATTCCTTTGTCAAGTTCCCCCGAATTAGTTATAGGAAAATCTTTTAAAATTTAGCTTTTCATAAGTGAAGAGCGAACCTTGAATAAATAAATGGCTAAAATAATTATGTCCTAACATTTTTCTCCTCATGTTTCACAACCTTAAATTTTGGAAATACCTCCTAGTTTTTCTGTTAAAATATTAGGGGGTTTTGCAAATGTAACAGTGATATTTATTTTATGTATTTGGGTATTTCACAAAATACTTGCAGGAGAATTGTAAAAATGCAAAAAAGAGTTTTGTAGTCAACACAATTAACTGCAAAAATTTACAATTTATAAGAGGTTCAGTGAATTTTAACGCAAAAATCTTGCATTAGCGTGTTTATCATACTTTGACTTTTGACCTGTTGTCTTGCTTGCGCTATTTTGTAGAACATATCATATTTGATTTCGTATACGAAACTGCGAGCCTCTTATTCCGTAATCCATAGTAGAAAATTACTCGGAGTCATGTTTTGACTCAAGTTTAAGAATTAAAAATTACAGTTTTGTAGTCAACACAGTTAATCCATAGTTTAAGAATTACAAATTACTCGGAGTCATGTTTTTCAACGACGGTTTTCTATTTGTTGGTTTTTTTTTTCATAGTTTCATTTATGAATATATTTACTGGTGTGAAATACTTAGTCAAATAGTACGATGATTCAAAGTTGGTTTTAAATTTTACTTTTTTTAAAAAAAAAATTCTATTAATTATTTGGACATCCAAGATTTACAAACGGGAATATCGTCCATGATTTAATTTACACCAAATCGAGAACATACGTACTATTAATTAACACCTATTTCTTTCTTGTTTTGTTTTGGTGAAAACCAATACTTACTTTGATGTTTTCTATTTTTGCAATTTTCTAGTTGAAGATCTTTTTTTGTTTGTCAATTCCAGTTGAAGACCTAATAAAAAGGATAAGGACTTTGTATTAAAAAAAGGCACGCTTTCTGTCATCGATAATTAAACTGTATATAGTATTCTAAAAAATAGAATTGTTAGACGTTACATTGGTAGTGAGAACAAAATATCATTATCTTAGAGAATACAATATTTGCAAAAAAGGCCCACCAGAATCCAGACTATTGGCTCATTAACCAGTCTCCACTCGTCCACTCTCCTAGGACCTAGGAATTTGGTCGCAGAAACGTCTTTCTCCACGGAAATAGAAATTTCGTCTGATTAAGTAAAAACCCTAGATCTCAACCTGATTCTCTCTCACTCTCTCCCCAAAAACCTTGAGCGGCTTCCATGGAAGGATCTTGATCTCTGATTCTCTTCTTACGCCAAAGTTCTCGCAATTTCTCTTTCACTCTCTCTCTCTCTTCCACTCTGTGGCGCTTCTCGTCTGAGTCGGAGTCGAGAAGCGCTTCTTTTCCCAACCTGATTCTCTCTCCCCAAAAACCTTGAGCGGCTTCCATGGAAGGACCTTGATCTCTGATTCTCATCTTACGCCAAAGTTCTCGCAATTTCTCTTTCACTCGCTCTATCTCTCTCTTCCACTCTGTGGCGCTTCTCGTCTGTTCCTCCTTTGTTCATCTTCGTTCTCCAGGTACTAGTAGTTTTTTTCATTTGCAGTCTGAGCTTTTTTGCTGTATATAACTATATATAATGTCGAGTTCGAAAATTTATTTGAAAAAGCATGACATTCGAGGTGGGATATTTCCGAATGAAGAAATATCGGTGACTAACTCGTTTGTTGTTTCTGGGTTGTTGGTTCTTTTGCTCTAGATCTGAAATATTGCGCGCAAAATCACTGTTAGGTTTGTTGCTCTGTTTATTGATGCTTTGCCTTTTTTGTTTCTGGGTCTGGGTTTTGGTTCTTCAGCTCTAGATTTGAAGTATTTTGAGCGCAAAATCACTGTTGGGTTTTCTGGAATTCGTCTTAGTCATTGCTTTGACACTCGATTTGCTTTTTATTTATGGGTTGTTGGTTCTTCTGCTCTATATCTGAACTATTTTGCGCAAAATAAATGTTAGGCATTCTGGAATTCGTATTCGTCATTGCCTTTGAGAGTCTATTGATGATGATTTGCTTTTTTTGATTATATAGTATGCCTGATAGCGTTCTCATACAAACTGGGCTTCGTCTTGGACTCATTTGGGATCTTCACACGGTTATATCTGTGGGCTTTTGCAATGAGCCTCTCATCTCTACCGCCTGGAGGCTTGTACCTTCAACTGAGCCCATTGCTGAAGTCCAAACAATCAGCAGCAGTTCTTCTTCTTCTGATGAAGTAGAAGTTGGTGCTGGTCCAGGCGATGATGGAGACACCGAATCTGAACACACTTCCTCTAATAAAGAAAAAGAAATTGGTGTTGAAGGGACCACCAGTGATTCCTCAGAGGGAGAAACCGGTGCTGGTGGTGACCGAGGAGGCTCTAGTAAAGTCAAATCAAAGAAGAAGAAACCTAGTAAAGGCACGGGCAAAATAACAATTACTGACACAGATAGCAAGTGGCCAAAAGTAAGTTTTGTGTGATTAATTAATGATTTATTTCCATTAACAAATACAGAAACCTAGAGTTATATTATAATTGTATTTTATCTAGGATCTTCCGGAAAACTTTCCAATTCATAAAGATTGCAGAGACGATGGCGTTCTTAGAGCAGATGTGACGATCCAAGGATCAAATGGTAATTATAATTGCAGAGATTGAATAGTGGTTTAAATAACTGTTTGACTTCTCATTCTTTTCTCTTCTTCCGGAAAACTTTCCAATTCATAAAGATTGCTTCAATGTTCTCTAAGAACATTGAAGCAACGATCAATATAAGAAATCGCAGTTTGGGGAGGAACCGACATCCAAGTCTGTCTGCTCAGCATCTGATCAATAACGTTAACAAGATGGATAATGGAGCGATGAGAAGATATGAAGGAGTTGAAAACTTTCTTGTGCACCAAGGACTAGTTAATGAAGACCGGTGTCCTTACACAGGCAGCATTGAAGAAGATGGCTGTGCTCATGCAAGGCCACAGGCAGAAGAAGTAAGTGCCTCTTTTCACCGTCTGTGACTCTTGTTTTGATCCCTCAAAATCGTTATGTTGAGTTTAGACCACTTATTGCGTATTCTCTTTCCTCTTTATATATCGAAGAATCTTTCGAGTCATTTAATTTCATATTTTTAATCAGGTAACCAGAATCAGACGCCTCGTAAGAATAAAGAAAAAGCACATCAACGAAACAGACCTGATCAGATTGGTATATCAAAAGCCCGTGATGGTTGAAATAAAAGCCTACAGGAGCTTATTGCAGTTCAAGGGGGTGAGTCCTTGTGAATTCTTTTAAATATTTACATGAGAAAGAAACATATTAATGTGGTTTATATGTGTAACAGAATGGTATTTATCGTGGGAAAGCTGGCAAGAAGGATCCAGAGTTGATAAACCGTCATGCTCTATTGCTGACTGGTTACGGGACGACAGAGAACGGAGATCATTATTGGATTGTGAAGAATTCATATGGAACTGAATGGGGTGAAGGCGGTTATGGAAAAATTATCAGGCAGTGCAGTCCTAGAAACCCCAACGACTCTTCTCTGTTTGTGAAGATAAGATATGCAGAGGTATTTCTATGAAATTGATTTGTCTATTTTTTTTTTTTTTGTGTGTGCAACTGATTAGTCTATTTTATATCTCATATTAACTGTTTGCCAATTCTGATGTCCCCTTATATTTGCTGTTTTTCTTTTCCAGATTTGAAGATTCGTTAGATTTGGTAGTTCGGCGTCTTTGCTTTTCTTTGATGGTTTGTGTACCATCTCTTTGAACTGGTTAACTATGGTTGTCTATTACCCTTTTTGAACCATCGGTTTAGGAAGACTTTTGTTTCGGTCCATTTTTTTCTCTAAATTCTTCTACTTGGACATTTGTTGGGTCCTAAGCACATTTTCTTGTCAACTCAAAACGTGGGTTTGTTCCTACTTTGACATTTGTTGCGGACGTGGTTTTTCGGATTAAAACGTGTTTTTTTTTTTCCACAGTACCAATATTGTTTTAGAAAAGCAAAATAACTTGGACATACAAGTGGTTTCAGAGCCCAACCAACTCGAAAATAAAAGAAAGCCGAACTTTGCGATAAACTATTAGGCCATTTAGATATTGGGATGCATATTTTCTAGTGACTTTGATTGGTTAAACTATAAAAAGTCAACATAAAAATTAGAAGAAAGTTAACCAAGAAAAATAAAAAGTTCAGTACCGGTTAAATAAAAAAAAGCAAAACTGTGTGATTTGTTTGCTCACGTTTTGGAATCTGCCGTCAAGTTTGCAGAGCCCAATTAAAAGAACGATCTTTTTCTCTCAAGAATTAGGGTTTCGGGTATTCTCCTCGGTTATGGATCCGCATGCCGTCGCCTACGATTTGGACCCGCAGATCTTCGCCTCCGTTGTGGACCCGCCGATCGTCGACAAGATATCTGAGGAACCAGATTCGAAACGCCAAAAGTTGGATGACGAGGAGGAAAGACCCGAAGATTCCTCTACGTCTAGCGACGACTCCATGGCTTACGATTCGGATGATGTTCGAATGTACGACGAAGAATTCAAAAAACATGGGGTAAGTTACGATTTGTGATTTGTATGGTTTCACTTGATTTCGATCTTCGATTTTGATCTGATTATATTTTTGTCATCTCAAAAAGGCGTACGATTTTGACTGCTCGAGAGTAGGCCGCATTGTGGGTTTTCGCCCGGTCATATTCGAGGATAGCGACTTTGCTGACGAACCGGAAACAGACGGAGAATTGATCAATCGATTATCGAAGACGGCTCTTGATAAATACAATACTGATAAGGTTTGTGTTAGCTAATCTTAGTTTTAATCATGCACAAGAACAAATCTCTGGGTATTTATGTTTGATTCTGTCCTATAGGGAAACAATCTTGAATTTGTGAAAGCAGTGAAGTCTAATTGGAGTATTGGAGGGGGACACATTTTCTCAATCACATTCGAGGCCAAGGATGCTTCTCAAAGTGAGCCTATACCTTTCCACGCTCAGGTTGGTTACTTTCCATGGAGAACAACTGTCTACGATGTCAAGCCTAAACCATGATCTTATATAGGTAAGGACTCGAAAAGCCACTTATCCTTTCTCTAGAAACGGTTTAGAGTCACTTCTTCTTTTTACTTGTTCAAGGGTAATAGTTGTTTTTGATATGTGTTTAAGAGTGAGTAGAGGCCATTAGGAAAAGGCTGAATCTTTTTATATTGTTATCAGAGAGCTTTTGAAAAGATTGCTTCTTGCTTTTCTTGAATTCGAGTCGACAAGCCTTCATGCAAGTTATCTAGTTGACACAAGTATGATAATCTGGTATTTTGCAGCTTCACTGGAGGAGACTCAATCTTATGGAATCGCAAAGCTCGATCGAGTCACGGCCAAGTAGCTCCTTAGTGATGATGACGTTCTACTTAGTTTTACATTATCCGCAAACTTATTTACTGTTATTGGGATTAAAGCTTTTGTGCATCTTACAACTCAATGTGTATCTCATAACTTGTATTGCCATAAGTTGTGTACTTGATTGTTTAAGCTCTGTTTTGTTTTGATCTTTGGTAGGTTCTTGGTATAAAGACCATTAGTGTTTCCAATTCTAAATCGAATTTCTTCACCGTATTAAATCTTGGTTACCACAATTCTCTAATGTTCTTGCGGTCAAATGAAAGTTATTCCTCCACATTAGTTACCATCTTTTAAAATTTCAACTTTTCAAATTAGTGAAGAGCGAACCGTGAACAGTTCTACATTTTTCTCCTCATGTCTCAACCTTAAATTTGAAAACAATGCAAGTTTCAGGAGAGCTGTATAATATATAGTAATGTCGTGGTGGGTCCGAATATTGTCTTAATTAATTAACAAAAAGTGACGTCCAACCACATTATTTTGGATTGGAAAATAAAATGTATTGTTACAAAATTGTGCAGCCTTATTTGCCTAGCGAGACACCGTCCGGTCTAAGAACATTAAGAGAGAAAGAGTTGGAGAATCTAAGAGGCAATGGCAAAGGAGAAAGGAAATTATCAGACAGAATCTACGACTTTGATGTCTACAACGACATAGGAAATCCCGACATATCTCCCGAACTAGCCCGTCCGACATTCGGCGGTCGAGATTTTCCTTACCCTAGACGTTGTCGAACTGGCCGGTCATCGACAGACACCGATATGATGTCCGAGAGACGTGTGGAGAAGCCATTACCGATGTACGTACCACGGGACGAGCAGTTCGAGGAGTCTAAGCAGAACACTTTTGCTGCTTGTAGGCTTAAGGCGGTTTTGCATAACCTCATACCTTCGTTAAAAGCCAGCATTTTGGCTGAGGACTTTGCTAATTTTGGTGAGATTGATAGTCTTTACAAAGAAGGCTTGCTTCTCAAGTTAGGGATACAAGATGATATGTTCAAGAAGTTCCCTTTGCCTAAGATCGTCACTTCCCTCCAAAAATCTAGCGAAGGGTTACTCAGATACGATACTCCCAAAATAGTTTCAAGTAAGCACATCACTTTACTTCTAATCTAATTTATTACATCTTTTAATTATCTCGTTAAATGGTTTATCTTTATTTTCATGGTCAGTATAGTTGACACATTTGCAATTAGCTATGAACCACTCCTATAGTGAGTGCTATGTATTTGGAACCAACAGTGAAACTTCACTTCAATAAAGAAACATGCTTCACGTGCTTAATTCATTTCTTTATTAGTTGTGTTCACCTAAAAGCTAAATTTCGCTCGTGAGTAGTAAAGTAGTTATATTAGTTTGAGAATAATTAAATTAAAAGCGCGTTTCTGTTTCATATTAGTTCTCTAAACTAGTTGATCTTGTTATTTTATACAAGTTTAACTTGTCTAATGACTCTTTTTACCTTTTTGCAGAGGATAAATACGCATGGCTTCGTGATGACGAGTTCGCACGCCAAGCTATAGCTGGGATAAACCCGGTCAACATAGAACGAGTCACAACTTATCCACCGGTCAGCAATCTTGACCCCAAGATCTACGGTTCACATCTTGACTCTGCTCTCACCGAAGACCACATCATCGGTCACCTTGACGGCTTGTCCGTACAACAAGTACGAATCTAAATACTATCTCACACAATTACAAAAAATAATAATAATTGAGTTAAATTGTTAATCATTTTTACTTTTCAAAATTTCAGGCGTTAGGGACGAACCGGTTGTTTATGGTGGACTACCATGACATATACTTACCGTTTCTTGATCGAATCAATGCACTGGATGGACGCAAGGCTTACGCGACTCGAACCATATTTTTCTTGACTCGACTCGGTACACTCAAGCCTATAGCCATCGAGCTAAGCCTCCCTCCTCAATCAGACTCAAGCCACAAGTCCAAGCGCGTGGTCACACCTCCTGTAGACGCAACCTCCAACTGGACATGGCAGCTAGCTAAGGCCCACGTTGGGTCAAATGACGCTGGCGTCCAGCAGCTTGTGAACCACTGGCTACGTACCCACGCGTGTTTGGAGCCGTTTATATTGGCTGCTCATAGACAGTTGAGCGCGTTGCATCCGATATACAAATTGTTGGACCCTCACATGAGGTACACCTTGGAGATCAATGCCGTGGCACGACAGACTTTGATTAGTGCGGATGGTGTGATCGAGTCTTGCTTCACCGCTGGTCAATACGGTTTGGAGATTAGTTCCGCTGCGTATAAGAATCATTGGCGGTTCGATATGGAAGGCCTTCCTGCTGATCTCATCCGAAGGTAAATGCATCTCTCAGTAACTAACTATTTACATTTGGCATATAGTATTAGCAATGTAATTTTATTGGATGGCCAATTTTTGTTTTTCTTATAACAATTATTGTATAGAATCTAACAATTTATTTTATTGAATTTAGTTTTCAGGGGAATGGCTGTTCCTGACCCAACACAACCACGTGGACTTAAACTAATTGTCGAAGACTATCCATACGCCAATGATGGTCTATTATTGTGGTCGGCGATCCAAACCTGGGTCCGAACCTACGTGGAGCGTTATTATCCTATCGCGAACATAATCCGAACCGACACCAAGCTCCAAGCATGGTACTTGAAAACAAGATTTTTAGGTGTTTCAAACCCTTAATCCCTGCTCATATCATTGCAGCATAGTTTAAGGTTATCAATCCACTTTGAAGAGTGATTGGGACAAGAAAGAAAGCAAGAAACTTTCTCAAGTCAAGAGCAAAAAGATTTGGTTTTGTGAAATCCGAAATGAACAGTAAAAATGCAGAAATAAAGGCAATAAACAGAGTTTGAAGCAATTTGAAATCAAAACTAAGCTAGAAACCAAATTGAATCAAGCAAGTAGATGAATTCAAAGGAAGAAAGAGGTCTTAGGATGGGGTAATTGATTAGAGAATCTTAGAGGTTGATAATGATGTTTAGACAAACAATCCTAGGAAGAGAATTCAAGAAGCAAGATTAACCCATTTTCATGGTGAAAATCACAAAGCAAGAACCCAATCCAAGAGCTAACTTTCATTAGTGGAAAGGATTCAAGCCAGCAATAAGCAACAATTCTCCTAAACCAATAAGCTCTCTAAACATTCACTATCATGAGCTAGAGAAGCAAATCTCCTTGTTGGTTGGTCCAACATTTCTCCAAACACTTTTGATGTGGAAAATGTTTAAAACCTAGATATAAATTATCATTAGAGACCTAGCATTAAGAAAACCCAACAAGGAAGGATTGTATTGAAATTTAACCTCTAAACATCAAAATCAAACTCTAAAATCCCTAATCTATCCCATCCTCTAAGACCAAAGGGGTTTACTCACTAATCATGCTTAGAACACCAAATCCCATGGGGAAAGGGTCCTAATCATGATTAGAGAGATAAGATAAGAAGATTGTAGAAGGAAAGAACTTGATTTGATTAAAAACGAAGTTGGGATCTAACAAATTGTTTAGAACCCTAAAGAGGCTGTTTTTGGTGTTCTTGAAAGGAAATTACAAGTGCCTAAAATAATAGGACTTTAATCTATTTATACTTGGAGACTCCAAAACCCTTGGTCAACTCATTTAGCTTGACTTCTTCCTTCCCCAAATGGTCTTGGCTCCAAACTTTGCGTTTTGGTCTTCATTGGTCTGGATAGTGGTCAAAGCTCAGGTCAACGCGGGTCAACTCGTCCTCTTGGTCAACACTCAGCTGAAAGGCGAGAAACAGGTTTCTGAACCTGTTTGACATCCTGGTTGCGAGCTCCTGAGTTTCTTAATCTCCATCTCCGAACTAGCTCCAAAACTCCTCAAAAGTACCTAAATACAACTCCAAATGCAGAATGTATGCAATGTATGCTCTAAATGGTATGAATGTACACAATGGAAGGTAATTGACCTAAAATGAGTGAAATGAATGTCAAGAACATGCAAATATGTATGAAATTATATGTCTAAATGATGTAAAATATGAGTACATCAACACCCCCAAACTTATCACTTGCTTGCCCTCAAGCAAGAAGAACAAATCTGAGAGTATTGGATTAGGAGAAAGACTCAGATTCCAAGGTGCAATGAGAAGAAATGAGATCAATGTCCTAGTTGAGAATTATAAGATGCAAGTGAGTTTGCTTTACTTCAAAAACTTTAGCCACATTCATCAAAGCAACAAAATGACACTAGACCCAATCTACACATGCATTCATATCACTCTCACCTTTTGACATTCAATTAATACAAACCATGAATCAAAACTCATGCACTTCAAGATTTGCTCATTTGGTTAAGGGTTTAGGCTTTTTAGGAGATATGAAAGGTTTTCCAAAGTGGTTTACTCATTTTTAAAACAGGGATCTCTCAAAGATGGATTGAGCTTGGGCAAAATGCTAAGAGTCAAGTCCAAGGATGATACAAAGCTGAACTTCCATCTACCCAAAACAGAGCTGAGAACCCAAAGATACCCACTGAAATCCTAGCTACCCTTTTCTTCAAGAAAATGAAACTCAAATGAACCCAAATGACACTCTCTCTTTTCTTTCTTTTCTGGACCTTGAGAGGGTTATAAACTAGGACTTAAGGGAGGATAAACTTTCTTTTCAAAACAGAGGAGTAGACTTTTTTTTGAACTTTTGTGGCTTAAGGCTTTTCTTTTCTAGGCTTTGATTTTCTCTTTTTCTTTTTTTCTTGCCTAACTTTGACAACTTCACTCACAGCCACCACTCTTTTTAACTCTCCTCTTTCTTTTCTTTTCTTTCTCCCATCCTTTCTCTTTTTTACTTTCTGCCACTCTCAAGGTCTCTTTTAAACTCACTCTCTTCCTCACAAACTCCCAACCACCCAATTCCTAAGCCTAGTCTAGCTCAAAAACGTGAGCTAGTTCTACATGGAAGCTCAAACTTTGTCGGTCAAGACTCAACACTTTTTGCTTAGCTCAATCTGGAAAAGGCCTCACATCTCTCAGTAAAAGCTTTGGCTTGAAAGAAAGGTTTGGTAGGGAGGGTTATCAAACAAACTTGGACACACAAAGAAGGATGAAAATTGGATAAAGAGTGTCCAAGGGAAACAAAATCCATGAGCAGAAACTTTTAATGCATGAGAATGATATTTAATGATCAAATTAGGTTCCAATAGATAAGGTGAGAGTTCAATTCAAAGCAATGATTCAACCAAGTCATGATGTCAAAATGTGCATTCCAAATGTGGTTCTATCTTAACTTCAAACTCACTCAATATGCACCAAATAATTAACAACTAGGCCATTGAAAACTTTTCGAAAAATCACACCTTTTAATGGAAATGATCAATATTTTTTTTCTTATGCAAGTGCAAGTAACTACATGAGATGCATCTAGACTCAATCCTAATGTGCAAATGCAAATGATGCTTTTCTTTTTGTGTTATGCAATTTTTGAAAATTTTCATTTTTTTGGTTTTCTCTATGACATAGATGCAATGCACATGATGCATGAGACTCAAGGATGAAAATCGAAAATAAGAAAACAGAACACAAGGTCAAATGCTATGGACCTCTCCCCCAAACTTAAACTGCACAGTCCCTTGTGCAAATAAAAGCTTGAAGAAGAGACCCATCAAACAAAATGCAAAAACAGAGAAGACTAAAAATGCATAGTATTTACAATGTGTTGGAGTTGTACCTCTCAGGTACTCATGGAGGAGGAGGATGATTGATTTTCAAGGCTGTAAGATGCGTTGCTGTACTCCAGAGCTGGTGACCTCAAAGATTTAACATGGCTCAGACGGGAATCGGGTTGTTCTGAGGAGCAAACCTGTTTGAAATCCTGATTGCGACCATTCTGTCAAGTTTTTGCAATCTGATTTTTAGACAATCAACTCAGGTCTCTCAAGAACATCCCAATTCCTCATCCAAACAAGCTGCACCAAACCTACAACACAAAAGCACCAAAGGCAAACACAAAAAAAAAACAAATTGAAAAGCTTAAGTATATACAAAAGGATAAGCATGGGACTTCCTCCCAAGTGAGCTTGTTTTAGGTCCCAAGCTTGACCTTCTTTAACTCTTGCTAGTGAATGGTGAAGGGCTGCACGCCTTTGACAGTGATCCATGGCATGAGCAAGAGAACCGTGGGGTTTGACTGGATCACCTGGGGATGGATCAAGAGAGTGAGGATGTGGTTTCTCCATCTTTTTCTTTCTCTTAAGAGTGGCCTCTCTGCCTCTACACACCTCCTCCTTCTGAGCACGTCCCATGTGCTCACTAAACATATCAATGAGACACTCTCCATCCATAATATCTTCTCCACACTCATCAAGCACATGCACAACTTTGTCACACTCAACCTTGTCCTTCTTGAAGCTGGAATTGGCAATGGTTATGGTTCCACAATAACTTGTTGAAGAAACCTTCATTGGGTATGCAACCTTGCTGTTGATATTGTGGAGAGTGACCAGCTTCTTGTGAAAGTCAATTGAGGCTCCAACAGTTGTAAGGAATGGTGTTCCAAGGATCAATGGTACCTTCCTTATCTCCATACATACCCAAAACAGTCAGATCAGTTGGAACCTTGCAGTCTCCTATCTTTAAAGGGTAATCCTTGATTAGACCAAGTGGAGACTTAGAAGAGGCATCTCCAAACATGATAGAAGATGTAGGAGGCGTCATGCTCTTTATACCCAGCTGCTTAACCATGGCAAGTGATATCAGATTCACACTTGCTCCAGAATCCACAAGAGCATCATCAAGCTTCAAATCTCCAAGGGTGCAAGGCAATGTGAACTTCCCTTGTTTCTCAAGCTTGGGAATGGAGGTTGGCGTGATATGGGCAGGATCTGGGGGTGTAGAGAGCTCAAGAAGCGCTGCCACTCTCTCTTTGTTCACAAGAACATCTTAATCAGCTCATTTGGAGGTGAGCTTCTTGCATATTGCCTATGTTGGGTAGATGAACACCAATATTGCTCATATCATTCCTGAATGTGGAGACTACCTTCTTTTGAGCTTTAGTGAGAACTCTCTCAGGAAATGGAAGCTCTGGTTTGTAAAGAGGAGGCTCAACCTTGATGGTTTCTTCTCTTGCAACAATCTTTGAGGCTTCCTCCTTGGCATTTCGTTTTTCAGCTTGAGAAGTCTCTCATTCACTGAAATCTCAACACTTGTACCATGAAGGAGCCTGTAAAGTTCTTCTATAGCTCTCTCATTCTCTTCAGTCTCAGCCACACCATCTTTAGTAGAGAAAACTGCATGACAATACTCCTTTGTACTTGATGATGAAGAACCACCAACTTTAGCTTCCAAGGTAAGCACTTTGGTAGTTAGAGACTCAAACTTGTTGTTTAGATCATTGTATGAGCAATCAACCTTATTGTGAATCTCAACCATCCTCTTGTTCAACTCTAAGGCACTATTAGCTTGTCCTTGGATTATCTGTTGCAATATGGTCTTCATCTCTGCCTCTTGACCAGAATTGTGGCTTCCTTGAGCTTGAGTAGACCCAAGATCTTGTGGAGAAAAACCGTGCTTGTAATAGACCCATTGGTTTCCATCTTGGCTGTCCACATAGTTGAGCTTTTTCTCTTGAATCTCCTCACCATTAATGAAGTGCACTTGCTTTTTCTGACCTGACAGTAGCTTGTCAAGCTTATCATTGAGAGTCTTGAGCTCCTTCTTGTGATTCTCTTCTTGAGCAAGACTGCCTCTCTCAGCTCTGTCACAATCTTCACCATAGCTTCCATCACTAGTGGCAACGTTCTCAACTAAAATCAATCCAGCATCAACATCTTTACCCATGAAGTAACCATTGCTTGCTGAATCAAGATGCATTCTGTATTTGGGTAATGTTCCTCTGTACAAGGTACTCAGTAGATTCTCTTTAGAGAAACCATGGTGAGGACACTGCATCTGGTAGCCCTTGAAGCGCTCATATGCCTCACAGAAAGTTTCTCCATGCATTTGCGTGAAACCGGAGATATCATTGCGCAGTTGTGCTGTTCTTGAGGTTGGAAAGAACTTAGCCAAGAAAGATTGCTTGCACTGCGCCCAAGTGGTGACTGATCCAGCAGGCAGAGATGCTTCCCAAGTGAGAGCTTTATCCTCTAGAGAGAAAGGGAAAAGCCTTAACTTGAAACCATCTTCAGAAACTCCATTGAGTTGCTGCAAAGAACAAATTCTGTCAAACTTGTCAAGATGCTTCAATGGATCCTCATCCTTCATGCCATGAAACACTGAACTCTCCACCAATGAGATCAAGCTGGTCTTGATTTCAAAGTTAAAGGGGACTGGTGGTGGGGTGATTCCGTGGCGGTTGACATGAGAAGTCGGAGTGTCAGCAGCTCCGATTTGTCGTGGAGGGTGTGGAGGATGAACTGGATATCCTCCATGCTGCTGGTCAGCTCCCAATGGAAACTCTGGGACCCCTGGTGGGTCTGCCATGCTCACAAGCTATGGTACGTTGTTCTCTAGCTGCTGTTCAGCTCTCAGTTGCTTCTCAGCTCTATCTCTGCCTTGCTTTGACTGTTTCTCTTGTTCAGCTCTTTGAAAATCACTTGTCCAGAACAGAATGTCTTGACCACGTGATCTTGTGTTCATAAACCTGCAAAACCACAAAGAAACTTCAAGAACGGATGAGCAGCAAGCGAAATATGAAATAAAAACTTGATCTTGAAAAATTTCTAAATCGAAAATGTCCAATCAAATCTCTCCAAATGGCAACGGCGCCAGTTTGAAAACAAGATTTTTAGGTGTTTCAAACCCTTAATCCCTGCTCATATCATTGCAGCATAGTTTAAGGTTATCAATCCACTTTGAAGAGTGATTGGGACAAGAAAGAAAGCAAGAAACTTTCTCAAGTCAAGAGCAAAAAGATTTGGTTTTGTGAAATCGAAATGAACAGTAAAAATGAGAAATAAAGGCAATAAACAGAGTTTGAAGCAATTTGAAATCAAAGACTAAGCTAGAAACCAAATTGAATCAAGCAAGTAGATGAATTCAAAGGAAGAAAGAGGTCTTAGGATGGGGTAATTGATTAGAGAATCTTAGAGGTTGATAATGATGTTTAGACAAACAATCCTAGGAAGAGAATTCAAGAAGCAAGATTAACCCATTTTCATGGTGAAAATCACAAAGCAAGAACCCAATCCAAGAGCTAACTTTCATTAGTGGAAAGGATTCAAGCCAGCAATAAGCAACAATTCTCCTAAACCAATAAGCTCTCTAAACAGTCACTATCATGAGCTAGAGAAGCAAATCTCCTTGTTGGTTGGTCCAACATTTCTCCAAACACTTTTGATGTGGAAAATGTTTAAAACCTAGATCTAAATTATCATTAGAGACCTAGCATTAAGAAAACCCAACAAGGAAGGATTGTAAAACGAAATTTAAACCTCTAAACATCAAAATCAAACTCTAAAATCCCTAATCTATCCCATCCTCTAAGACCAAAGGGGTTTACTCACTAATCATGCTTAGAACACCAAATCCCATGGGGAAAGGGTCCTAATCATGATTAGAGAGATAAGATAAGAAGATTGTAGAAGGAAAGAACTTGATTTGATTAAAAACGAAGTTGGGATCTAACAAATTGTTTAGAACCCTAAAGAGGCTGTTTTTGGTGTTCTTGAAAGGGGAAATTACAAGTGCCTAAAATAATAAGACTTTAATATTTATACTTGGAGACTCCAAAACCCTTGGTCAACTCATTTAGCTTGACTTCTTCCTTCCCCAAATGGTCTTGGCTCCAAACTTTGCGTTTTGGTCTTCATTTGGTACAGCTGGATAGTGGTCAAAGCTCAGTCAACGCGGGTCAACTCGTCCTCTTGGTCAACACTCAGCTGAAAGGCGAGAAACAGGTTTCTGAACCTGTTTGACATCCTGGTTGCGAACTCCTGAGTATTCTTAATCTCCAACCTCCCATACTAGCTCCAAACTCCTCAAAAGCACCTAAATGCAACTCCAAATGCAGAATGTATGCAATGTATGCTCTAAATGGTATGAATGTATACAATGGAAGGTAATTGACCTAAAATGAGTGAAATGAATGTCAAGAACATGCAAATATGTATGAAATTATATGTCTAAATGATGTAAAATATGAGTACATCAGTACTCCGAGTCAATTAACGTAGGTCACGCCGACCACCGTGGTGCCGAGTGGTGGCCGGAGCTTTCCACCGTTGATGACCTTGTATCTATCTTAACCACCATCGTCTGGCTCGCCTCCGCACAACACGCCGCCCTAAATTTCGGACAGTATCCTTACGGTGGCTACGTTCCAAACCGGCTGCCGTTGATGCGAGGGTTGATTCCCGACGAGTCAGATCCCGAGTTCGCGAGTTTCCTCGAAGATCCGCAAAAGTATTTCTTCTCGTTGATGCCGATTTTGTTGCAGACGACGAAGTTTATGGCGGTTGTTGACACATTGTCAACGCATTCGCCGGACGAGGAGTATATTGGGGAGAGACAACAGCCATCGATATGGACAGGAGATGTTGACATCGTCGATGTGTTTTATGGATTCTTCACGGAGATCAGACAGATAGAAAAATAGATTGAGAAGAGGAATCGTGATCCTAGCCGTAGGAATCGGTGTGGGCCGGAGTTTTGCCGTACGAGCTAATGGCTCCGAGTTCCGAACCGGGCGTTACTTGTAAAGGTGTCCCTAATAGAAAATATATTTGTTTTTAAAAAAATAATTATGGGGAACTAAGTAGTTAATTTATTTATTTGGCACTAAATTGTAAATGAGCCATCTTTCAAAGGATCTTATAGAACTCAAGTGTGTTGAATATTTGTGTGTACATAGATAAATGAAAAAAATAATGGTACAAAATCATCTAAATTTGGAGTATTATTTGCAGAAACTACAAAGATTATCAAAAATGTGGTGCTAGTAGTTAGTGGTAAATACTTGGTGTAGGACGAATGATTTATCTCGGTACAAAATCAAAAAGCAAAATAGCGCGTACAATTTGTTTGCTCTATTAATTTTAGCGAACGGTTTACTGGTTTGATCGTGAATGAAAAACAAAAAAAATGACGTTCGTCGCCTCTTCCGGTAGGAGTAGGCTAAAACGTTAATTGTCTGCGATATGTTTTACTCGACTTCATGCGTCGGTACAACTGCAGTGACGGTACGTGTGTGTGATCGATGAAAACTTTAATGGTATGCACCTCTATGTTACATATTGCCTTGATTCAAATAATTTCTTTTTTCATAGGAAATGTTAGGAAAATATTTTCGATATTTTCTTTGGTTCCAGACCCACATTTGACCGACTATGATACCCTTCTTGACAATAAACATGTCCTAAAAGATTGAAAATCTGTTCAAGTCCAATTCCCGAATTGGTTACAGGTACTTATTTTTCCTTGTTGATAACCACTAGTTAACTTTACATTTTTTTCACTAAGTAGGTAAATATTCTTCACATTTTCATGATAAAATAATGTTATGGTTGATTAAGATTTTGTTTTCAAAGCTATATGAAAAAAAAAAACCATATACCTTTTAATCGAAAACACATTTTCATGCAGTACATTTATTTATGCTAAGTGACTGAGATTTTGTCCCTGGATACCACATTTTATTTCATAAAACCATACATTTTAATTGTTTTTTTTGTTAAAGAAAGAAACACACTTTAATTTGTCACTCACTTGATTTATTTTTTCAAATTACGCTATCACTTAAAAGAACCCTTTCTTAAAACAGAAACCCCTAACCTAACATTCATTTAAGCCGACTAACTATTAATTTTGTCTTTTTTTTTTGACGTCGAAAGCCCATGTAATTTTATTAAGTTGTACCGCGGAGATTAGCTTCGTGAGCTAACCAACTCGGAGTTAAAGGGTTTACATAGGCGAATAGAAAACCTCGTGCTCGGGCTCCTTTTGAGAGACAGTCGGCACGGACATTAAACAAACGTGGAATGAAAGAAATAGCAAAAACATCGAAAGATGATCTAATAAGTTTAAATTCCTCAAGTTCTGTGGCCAAGGCCGGCCACACCACTTCGTCTTCCATTAGCTTGGTGAGTTGCATACAATCGGTCTCGAAACTCATAGACTTTATCCCCAAGTTCAAGACGGATTGCATTGCCCATACCATTGCTGAAAATTCCGCATGCAGTGGGGATAATGCATGGTTAAAAGCTGTAGCTCCAAATATCGTAGGGCCATCTGTTGTGTCGAGGACAAAACCACCTCCACTAAAGTTAGAGTCGATACCCCATGAGGCATCGACCTGACATCTTGGAAGGTGTATATTTGTTTCGTCCTGATGACTTGATGGCTCCCGTGGCGTGTCTCGCTTCTTGTTTTGTTCCTTCTCTTGTGCTTTACGCCAAGCGTCGGACTCCGAAATCGCCGATTGAAGAGTACATATGGCGTGTACATCGACATTATCGAAGACTTTGACATTGCGTGCTTTCCATAGGAACCAGAGTATCCATGGAAATGTTGATAGCGTATGGTCTTGTACCCCTGTTTCTTTCGCTCTCAGCAAGAGATAGTCAAAGTTGCTAAGGAGGTTATTACACGGGAAAACCCCCGGAGTAATGGGAAAATTAGAGAGTTCCCAGACCCTAACTGCTTCTGGGCATTCAAACAACAAGTGATTAACGGTTTCCGTGCTATTTCCACATCTAGGACATGACCGGTCTGTGCCACAATGTCTGTCGACTAGACGATCTCGCACTGCGATGCATCCACTTATACATTGCCATATGTAGTGCTTTAGCTTCTTTGTTGTCTTTGTTTTCCAAGCTATTCTTTTTAGGCCCGTAGTGCTTGGCTCTAATACCTGGTTTGGTACGTCCCTCACCGTTCTTTTAGCAGCGAGATCATATCCCGACTTGACTGTATATGCACCTGATTTCGTATATGCCCAGACCAGCTTGTCTGCCTGTGGCAGCCGCGCCGGACGTATAGCTTGGATCCGCCGTACATCCTCTTCTGTGAATAAACTATTGAGGGCATCTGTCTTCCACTCTTTCGTCTGTTGATCAATGAGATGGTAGACGAGAAGGTATGGATCTTGCTGATCACTAAGAGGAGTTGGCGGGCGTGGGGGATCGGTGGGAATCCATGAGTCTCGCCATACGACTGTATTCGCACCTGTACCTATCGCCTTCCTCATCCCTGAGACAAGTAGTTCTCTTGTAGCCATCATACTCCTCCATCCATACGATGGAGAGTTAACTCTTTCACCCGCTAGAGGGTTTGACGACCAAAAGTAGCGGCCCTTGAGGACTCTTGCCAAGAGAGACGAAGGGTAATGGAAGATTCGCCATAATTGCTTCGCTAGTAAGGCGAGATTAAAGTTCTGTAGGTCACGAAATCCTAGGCCTCCTTCGTCCATTGGTAAGCAAATCTTCTCCCATGCAATCCAGTGTAAACCTCTATTATTCTGTTTTGTACTCCACCAGAATTTTGAGATAGCACCTTGGAGTTTTTTTATGGTTGCTTGGGGGAGAAGAAAACACGACATTACATAAGTGGGCAAGGCTTGAGCCACAGATTTAATCATCACTTCTTTTCCCCCTTTTGATAAGAGCTTTGCCGACCACGAATTTATACGCTTACTCAGGCGATCGTGTATAAAGGTGAAGACCTTAGTTTTAGCGCCACTTATGTTCTCTGGAAGCCCTAGGTATGTACCCATACCTCCTTCTGTATTTATGCCAAGAGCTTGCTTGAGAGCAGTACGTATGTCCGGGGGAACCTTTTTTCCAAAAAAGATTGAGGATTTGGCTGTGTTTAGCTGTTGGCCAGAGACACGGCCGTACGTTTCTATGATCCTCATGAGCTCCGCACATTGCGGGATAGTAGCTTTACAGAAGAAAAGGCTATCATCAGCAAAGAGGAGGTGCGATATGGGTGGACTATTCCGTGCTATCTTGAGGCCCGTGATTTTCCCTTCTTCTTCTGCTCCACGGATTTGAGCTATTAGGGCTTCAGTTAGGATGATGAACAAGAATGGTGAAAGTGGATCGCCTTGGCGGAGACCTCGAGTGGGTTGTATATGTCCTTTTGCATCTCCGTTCAATAAGACTTGGTAGGAAACTGAAGATACACATGACATGATCCATGAAACCCATGTGTCCGAGAAGCCCATCTTAGTCATGTTATTTGTTAGCTAAGTTCTTAGTTCTTAGGTAAATATAGCGTGGTATGACAACCAACACACAAAAAAGCACCGTTAAACATACAATTTGGTAAAAGTAATGTACTAGTAGAGAACATTGTGCTATCATATGAAATCGCAAACAAATAATCAATGTATGCTAGCTATTTTGGGAATTTTATTGTGTACATTTGAAATTTATTGGGTTATTAAAATGCCAGAATATTCACAAATTTCATTTCTGGTTGGATCCCATTTCGTCTTTGCTGACTCTTCGATTGGGGGTTTCCATCTGTTGTACTGCGTCTACTGGAAAAAATGGGTCTGTAATCAAATGGGGGTAAATGGTAAATCTCGATCTACTTTTGGTGACAAGAGTATAAGCATCTTGAAATTCATGAAGTTTATGATCTAATAACTTTCAAAATGTATGGATAGTTTTGCCTTCATTTAATTGTACAAAAAGTGAACTAATGGCAAACTGGTGTAGGCGATATTGGTAATGGATTTGAAGATGCTAAATTGGTTATTTCAAGAAATAAGTTGGTGATGGTATCCAAGGTAGTGAATTTGGTAATGAGAAGAAATTTTTTTGGTAAAAACATATAAATTAGGATTCTAATAGCCAAGTTTAAGTTGTATGTTTGATAAATTCATTAACAAATACGGACCCAACACAACCACATGGACTTAAACCACTTGTTGAAGACTATCCATACACCAACAATGGTCTCTTATTGCAAACAACGAAGTTTATGGAGGTTGTTGATATGTTGTCGACTTATTCGCCCGACAAGGAGTATATCGGGGAGAGACAACAGCCGTCGATATGGACAGGAGATGCTGATATCGTCGATGCGTTTTATGGATTCTCGACGGAGATCGGACGGATAGAAAAAGAGATTGAAGAGGAATCGTGATCCTAGCCGTAGGAATCGGTGTGGGGCCGGAGTTTTGCCTTACGAGTTAATGGCTCTGAGTTCCGAACCGGGAGTTACTTGTAGAGGCGTCCTAATAGCGTATCTATTTAGATTTTTTTTTAAAAACAAATTTAAATATGGTGTATGAGTATATCTATATTTTTGCATATAAAAAGTAGTTAACTTTTTTTTTGGCATTAAATTTTGCATGAGCATATCTCTTCAAGGATCTTATAGAACTTGTATGTTGAATATTTGTGAGTACATAAATAAATAAATAAAAAGGCAATGGTACAAAATCATCTAAAGTTAGCGTATTATTTGGAGAAACTACAAAGATTAATTATCAAAAATGTGGTGCTAGTGGTTAGTGGTAAATACTTGGTTTAACTTTCTTTAGGACGAATGATTTATCTCGGTACAAAATCAAAAAGCAAAATAGCACGTATAATTTATTTGCTCTTTTCATTTTTCATCGTCGATATTTATGAAGTCATAGTTCAAATAAATATATTTAAAGAACGAACTAAACAAGAATTAGGGTTTTGAGTATTCTCCTGGTTATGGATCCGCAGAACTTTAACAAGATATCTGAGGAACCTGATTCGAAACGCCAAAAGTTGGATCACGAGGAGGAAAAATGCGAAGAGATGCCCTCTTCGTCTAGCGACGACTCCACGGATTACGATTCGGATGATGTTCGAATTGTACGACGAAGAATTCAAAAGACATGGGGTAATATGATTTGTGATTTGTATGGTTTCACTTTGATTTCGATTTTTGACTTTTGTTTGCTTCTTATTTTTGTCATCTCAAAAGGCGTACGATTTTGACTCTCGAGAGTAGGCCGCATTGTGGGTCATTACCCTGTCATATTCGAGGAAAGCGACTTAGCTGACGAACCGGAAACAGACGGAGAATTGATCAATCGGTTATCGAAGACGGCTCTTGATAAATACAATACTGATAAGGTTTGTGTTAGCTAATCTTACTTTTAATTACACACAAGAACAAATCTCTAGGTATTTATGTTTGATTCTGTCCTATAGGGAAACAATCTTGAATTTGTGAAAGCAGTGAAGTCTAATTGGAGTATTGGAGGGGGACACATTTTCTCAATCACATTCGAGGCCAAGGATGCTTCTCAAAGTGAGCCTATACCTTTCCACGCTCAGGTTGGTTACTTTCCATGGAGAACAACTGTCTACGATGTCAAGCCTAAACCATGATCTTAGATAGGTAAGGACTCGATCTGCAAGTCATTGATCCTTCCTCTCTCTCTTCTCTATTCTCTAGAATCGGTTTAACTGTATTGTTCCTTCTCCATGCAAGTTATCTAGTTGACAGAAGTTATTGGGATAAGCTTGTCTATCTTTCAAGCCATGTGTATCTCTAAACTTGTATTGCGATAAGTTGTGTAATTGATTGTTAAGCTTCGTTTGGATCTTTTGGTGTCTTCTTGTTTAGAATGTTGTGAGAAAGGTAATTCTGGTGGATACACCAATGTATGGCCAGTTAACTAAGTGTTTCTAATTCAAAATCAAATGACTTCACTGTATTATTTTATCTTGGTTTCCACAATTCTCTAATGTTCGTGCGGTCAAATGGAAGTGATTCCTTTGTCAAGTTCCCCCGAATTAGTCATAGGAAGATCTTTTCAAATTTCAACTTTATATAAGTGATGGATAAATAAATGGCTAAAATAATTATGTCCTACATTTTTCTCCTTATGTTTCACAACCTTAAATATGAGGAACTATGAGTATATATATATATTTTTGCAAATAAAAAGTAGTTAATTTATTTTTTTTGGCATTAAATTGTAAATGAGCATCTCTTCAAGGATCTTATAGAACTCGAGTATGTTGAATATTTGTGTGTACATAGATAAAAAAAAAAAGTAATGTTACAAAATATATAAAATGTGGTGCTAGTAGTGGTAAATACTTGGTTTATATAACCTTTTCTAGGACGAATGATTTTATCTCGGTACAAAAACAAAAAGCAAAATAGCAACGTATAATTTGTTTGCTCTTTTAATTTTTCTGCCGTCGATAGTTATGAATCAAATGCAAATAAATATTTTCAAAGAACGAATTAAACAAGAATTAGGGTTTTGAGTATTCTTCTTGGTTATGGATCCGCAGATCGTTAACAAGATATCTGAGGAACCTGATTCGAAACGCTCGAAGTTGGATGACGAGGAGGAAAAATGCGAGGAGATGCCCTCTTCGTCTAGCGACGACTCCACAGATTACGATTCGGATGATGTTCGAATGTACGACGAAGAATTCAAAAGACATGGGGTAAGTTATGATTTGTGATTTGTATGGTTTCACTTTGATTTCGACTTTTGACTTTTGTTTGCTTCTTTATTTTTTGTCATCTCAAAAGGCGTACGATTTTGACTGCTCGAGAGTAGGCCGCATTGTGGGTTATCGCCCTGTCATATTCGAGGAAAGCGACTTTGCTGACGAACCGGAAACAGACGGAGAATTGATCAATCGATTATCGAAGACGGCTCTTGATAAATACAATACTGATAAGGTTTGTGTTAGCTAATCTTAGTTTTAATTATGCACAAGAACAAATCTCTAGGTATTTATGTTTGATTTGTCCTAATAGGGAAACAATCTTGAATTTGTGAAAGCAGTGAAGTCTAATTGGAGTATTGGAGGGGGACACATTTTCTCAATCACATTCGAGGCCAAGGATGCTTCTCAAAGTGAGCCTATACCTTTCCACGCTCAGGTTGGTTACTTTCCATGGAGAACAACTGTCTACGATGTCAAGCCCAAACCATGATCTTAGATAGGTAAGGACTCGATCCGAAATTAAGTCATTGATCCTTCCTCTCTCTTCTCTATTCTCTAAATCGGTTTAACTGTATTGTTCCTTCTCCATGCAAGTTATCTATAGTTGACACAGTCACACATATATGAATTATGATAATCTGGCCGCAAACTTATTTACTGTTATCGGGATAAGCTTGTGCATCTTTCAAGCCATGTGTAGTTCTAAACTTCGTTTGGATCTTTTTGGTGTCTTCTTGGTTAGACCATTGTGAGAAAGGTAATTCTCGTGAATACACCAATGTATGGCCAGTTAACTTAGGGTCTCTAATTCAAAATCGAAGGACTTTACTGTATTATTTTATCTTGGTTTCCTCAATTCTCTAATGTTCGTGCAGTTAAATGGAAGTGATTCCATAGCAAGTTTTTTCTCGTTTTCTCGTTTTCTCGTTTTTGTTTTAATGTTAATTCCTTTGTCAAGTTATAGGAAAATCTTTTAAAATTTCTCAAAAATTTCTCCAGTCTCCATGGAAATGGGAATCTATTTAATTTATTAAGTATCTCGCTCTACTACTTCAATTTCTGGTTTAGTATCTCCATATCACTTTTAGCTGTTTTTCTGACATTATCAATTTTATTCTTTCGTTATGTACCTAAAAAACCAGTCAATTTATTGTTCTCTCCAACTTTAGGTATTACTCTTACCAACAATGTGGAACGTACAAACAGCTTCAGTCTCGTTCTCCCCATGCTATGAACATCAACGTTTTCCTATCAATGGGGGTTGGGAATGAAATATCTATGTAATATATTCCTCATTTTCAGTTATTTTTTTTTGGTTAGAGTTTTTTTTCTCTTGTTTTGGAAGTTTGACTAAAATAACACTAATAGTGAGAAAAAGACGTCTAAAGTTTGGTTAGTTTGATTTCAAAAGGAACATTGGGTTTCTTCACTTTTGTCTGAATCTAGACATTGTCCAGTCGTTATTAATAGTATATATATGTACGGTGAGATGTCAGACAATAACCAAAAAATTTCCGAAAGTGCATTTGTGTGTAACTATCTCCCTTTCCTCAAGACGTTAGATCTGCATTTTGTTTTCTAGACAAGTGCCCCAAGAAAGAAATTAAAGGGATTGAGAAGGTAAACTTTTATTCCACGTCGTTTTCGGTAATCAATTTTCGGTTTATATCGGTACATAAATCAGAGCACTACGAGTTGAATTGTAAACCGGAATCTGGTTATTGTAACCGGATTTAATCAGTGAGATGTGATCCCATAAATCTTCGGCTCGATCGGTTGAATTCAACTTCTCAGATAAAACCGGCTCGGTTTACTGGTTTGATCGTGAGTTAAAAACAAATAAAATTACATTCGTCGTCCTCTTCCCATCATTTCGTATTTTATTCTTTGGCCGAACGTATCTCCAACCAACTGTATTCTTCCCCATCGGCATCGTCGCCTCCAGGTTCCAGAGTTTTTTAGGTATTATCTCGCGCGAGGTTCTCTCCGATCTGACTCTTCTTCCCGGTAGGTGTAGGCTAAAACGTTAATTGGAGATTCTTGTGTACTCGTCTCTATTGCTCTTTATGAACGATCAGATCCGAAACGTTGTCCGTTGTGCGTTTGTTCAATTTACTCGTCTCTATCATCGCATATCGAAGTGAAATCTTGCATGTTGATTATTTTTAATACGCATATTCCCTGTGTGTGATGGATCTTAATCGATTTTGTTAAATTGAATTGAACTGCTGCCGAGATGTTGATCCGATTACGCCAATATCTGTATCAACATCTTGGTTGGTAAAGGATTTCTAGATTACTCGTATCGAATCGAAAACCGGAAGTTCTTGATTAGATTCTCTTCTTCAATTTAAACTTTATCGTCGGTTCTGTTTCCCAGATCTCTCTCTGTTCGTCATCTCTCTGATCCGATTAGACTTGTATTGAATATTGGTTGGTTACGGTTCTAAAACATCTGAACTTGTTGTGAATATGATGGACAAGTTTTGTTTTAGCTGGAATGGTTCTTGTCTTTGATTGTAATTTGTACCTTGCAGGATCTCTTCTTCATTGCTACTTGCAATGGTTGTCGATAGCTCTGTTTCCCTGTCTCCTCGCCGGAGGCAGGTTCTGTTGCGGGATCAGGTTCAGCTTATTAAAAGAAAGGACTATGGAAGATATGGGATAGTTCCGGTCGAGGATCCGTTGTCTTTTGAAAAAGGTTTTTACCCTGCGGTTATTCGTGCTTGCCAATCCTTGGCTCGGAAGAACGATGGGCTCACTTTGGTCGGATTAGCTGGTCGGTCCTTCTGGAGCCCTGGAAAGACAATCTTCACAACTTCATGCTATCATAAACATGGGCACAGCTGCAGTGACGGTACTCGTCTGTGTGGTCGATGGAAAGGTATGGACCTCTATGTTACATATTGCCTTGATTCAAATCATTTTATTTGTTCATACGAAATGTTAGGAAAATATTTTTGGTTGCAGACCCACTGTTGACCGGCTATGATACCCTTCTTGACAATAAACATGTCCTAAGCGATTGAAAATCTGTTCAAGTCCAGTTCCCGAATTAGTTTCAGGTACTTATTTTCCTTGTTGATAACCACTAGTTAACTTTACATTTTTTTTCACTAGGTAGGTAAATGTTCAAAGCTATATGCAAAAAAAAAAACCATTTATGTATGATAAGTGACTGACATTTTATTTCTCCCATTTCGTCTTTTTCTCTTCACTATTTGCAAAGACTTTTAGGCAGGAATCGTAAAGATCCGGGACTGAGAAACACCAAAATCTAGGGAACTTCTTCTCCGTGCTCGGCATCGCCACTAAGTGAATCTCCTCATCTCCGAGCTGACGGATCCGTCGACTATAAAAGCAAACCCGCCGTCAGATCTTCCTCCGGGGGCTGGAGATCCGCCGGATTCATCATCGGTTTTCCTCGACATGTTTCCTTCACCACCCGCTGATTTTTCCACCAACTTGGTATTCTAGAGTTCTCAATTTTGACTTCGCCGGCTTTGAATTGACTGATATTCGCAATTAGGTTTAATTTGGGCGTTTAATTTATATCATTGTGATTTTAATCATTGTGGTCAGGCAATCCCAAATCGGTAGTCAGAGATAAGAACGGTTCAACAGCGACTGATGAAATGGTTACAACTTGGAGACGGAAAAGTAGTGATTCCTCAAGCTCTCGAAGCTCTGTGAAAGAAGATAATGCAACGTCTGTAAAATCTGCAAACTCGTCACCGTCTTCTCTGTCAAATTATGCTCGCGAGGAAAGAAAGCACGCTGAGAAAGAAGATGATAGAAGTGATAGCAGTGAAAGAGAGGATGACCATGTGACAGCACTTGATGATGAAGAGGCAGTGGCTGTCCAAGAGCAAGTAAGACAGATTAAGGCCCAAGAGGAGGAGTTTGAAACCCTTGACCTCAAAATTGTGCAAAGAAAAAACAGGTATGGTTTCTTCAAAGATTTCTACATGGTCATAGTTTCATATATACAAGCTAAGTGCTGCTGTTTTACTATTTGTTTTGATATTTGATCAGGACTGGTTTCGAAGAGGAAAAGAACTTCCACGTGGTGTTGAACTCGGTCATTGCTGGGCGTTACCATGTCACCGAGTATCTTGGATCAGCAGCTTTCAGTAAAGCCATACAGGCGCATGACTTGCAGACAGGAATGGACGTTTGTATCAAAATCATAAAGAACAACAAAGACTTCTTCGACCAGAGTCTTGACGAGATAAAACTTTTGAAGCTTGTCAACAAGCATGACCCTGCTGACAAATTTAATCATCCTCTCCGGTTGTATGATTACTTCTACTACCGGGTAAGTGATCATCTCTCTTTTGCACAGTTTTATTCTATATTAAATAGCTACAGCATATCAAAATGGTTTCTGTGGCTGTGTGTTTTACAGGAGGACTTGCTAATTGTATGTGAACTTCTCAAGGCCAATCTATACGAATTCCACAAGTTTACCAGAGAACCAGGTGGTGAAGTTCATTTCACAATGCCAAGATTACAGGTTTGGCTTCCTTCTTCATCATTACCTTTTACCATAGATGTACATATCAAACATATATATTCCAGTGACTAAGTCTTCTGATGTCATTGCTTTCATTACTTGTTTTTGATATTTTGCAGGCTCTTTTCCAGAATGACAGTTTGCTAATCAACGAAATCAGCTCATCAGGTTAGACTTACATGTCAATATAGCCATTCAGCTGCACCGTTTCCATTATGAAATGATGGTCTTTACTCATAAAGGAACTACTGTGGTCATCACACTGCTACTAGTTACATTTTGTAATGCGTCAAATGTTTGCCTCATTGTCTTCCTTTCATATAATTCTACTCTGATCTTTGTTTTGAGTTTTATAAGACCATGTTGCTTCACTTTTCTATAGTTTGACCTTAACCTTATCCATTTTACTTGATCTGCCAATGATCTCATATAGGTGGGAAGAAATCTGCTGGAGGAATCTGGGTTTCAGGGAGTCAGGGAATAGCAGAGGATGCATCAGATCTTGTCTCTGGCTTTGCTACCATAGGTGATGGTTTGAGTGAGTCTGTTGACTACCGTAATGAATATTGGGACTCTGACGAGTATGAGGATGACGACGACATTGGTTATGTCAGACAACCTAATGAGGATGAGACATGGTCTCTTACCCACGAAATTGATAATCCAAGTGATCAGCATGAAAGAGATGCAACCAAAGACGAGGATGATCAGTCCTATGCAGAGGAGGCTTCTTATTTATCTGGCGAACAGTATCTGCAAGCAGAAGATGCTGAACCTATTTCTTCAGAAAACGACCGAAGACTTACAGTCTCAGAAATCTATCCAGCTAGCAAGAAAAAGGATTTGATATGCCAATATGATGGGCAGTTGATGGATGAGGAAGTGCTCAATTCAATGCGTGAGGAGCCTGCTTGGCAAGGGTTTGAACAGCTTTACTCTGAGTCAGATAAGAAACACACTGATGGATCAAACGAGAAAGCAAGTAGAAATGATGATTCAGGCGGATTTTTCCATGTGAAGACTCAAACTGATGGAGGTTTTTCGTTTGGCTCCTCGCAAAAAGATAGGCAGTTGATGCATGCAGAATCTAGTAAATCATTGTGGTCAGGCACTCCCAAGTCGGTAGTCAGAGATAAGAACGCTTCAACAGCTACTGATGAAATGTTTACAACTTGGAGACGGAAAAGTAGTGATTCCTCAAGCTCTCAAAGCTCTGTGAAAGAAGATAATGCAACGTCTGTAAAATCTGCAAACTCGTCACCGTCTTCTCTGTCAAATTATGCTCGCGGGGAAAGAAAGCACGCTGAGAAAGAAGATGATAGAAGTGATAGCAGTGAAAGAGAAGATGACCATGTGACAGCACTTGATGATGAAGAGGCAGTGGCTGTCCAAGAGCAAGTAAGACAGATTAAGGCCCAAGAGGAGGAGTATGAGGATGACGACGACATTGGTTATGTCAGACAACCTACTGAGGATGAAGCATGGTCTCTTGCCCACGAAATTGATAATCACTCAGAGAAGAACCTCTTGTCCAGAGGGTTTCTGACCAGTATTCTCCTATCTTTCTGCAAAGTTGTTTCTGCTGAGACCATGAGGAAGTAAGTAATGTTTTCCTTCTCTTTAGATTTCTTATTCTTTAGTTATGTATCTTTCTTGGTATTGTTCGTCAATAATCTGTTGGTTTTTTGTTTTCTTTTTTTTCAGTGAACCAGTTTGTGAGACTCAACCAGTGTATGCGACTTGCTATGAGCAACTGATGGTGTATTCTGCGGTTATTGTTGGGATTGCTGGTTGCCTTTTATTAATCTGGAAATTCTGTATGGCTGGCGATGTAAACCAAGTTCCAGCCGTAAAAAAGAAGAGGAGGAATACAAACAAGAGCAAAACTAAGAAGAAGAATGATCTTGAAGCTAATGGAGAAGTGAAACAAGACTTTGGAGATGTGTTTGCCAAATTTCTGGAGAAACATAATCTACAAGTTAAGGACGATCTGGATGTTCAGCAGGAAGTACTGCCATGGACAAGTGATGAGGAGGAAGTACTGTCACCGTTAATTGATGAGGCTAGGGTTTATGAGTTTAGGGTTTATCGTGGTGTCTACAACCAGAGGGAAGTTGCTTTGAAATGCTATCCTGCTACTGATCTGCATTTTGAAATCATGGCTAATGAGTTGGCAAAGACGTACAAAGCAGATTACCAGGCAAACATACTCCATTGCTATGGTATTCAGCAGTGTGAAGGAAGTGATGTTTTTTGTCTCCTTCTACAGCCTTGGGAGTGCAGCTTAGATGAGCTAGTGGAATACTTCAAGGAGTCGAAGAAAAAACTGAGTGTGGAGAAGCAAACGTTTTTTGACAGTTTTGCCTATAACAAGTTCTGGGAATCAGCTACCCATTCTAAACCTTATCATCCCACACCTCTCCTTATAAGCCTCCTCAAAGGTATCATTAAGGGTGTTAGTCAGTTGCACTCCCACGGAATTGTGCACAGGGACTTGCACCCTGGAAATATCCTAATAACATATGAAGGGAAGAAGACTCTGACTGCGAGAATTGGGGGTATGAGTAGAAGCGTCTATGTTAGTGAAAGGGAGTTGTTAACTGATAGTGATGAGGAGGAGCTTACATCTTTGAAGATTGGTAAGCTTCTTGATCAAAAGCTTTAAGAGAAGTTATATGTGCTGATTTGAATTATCTAAATGTGTTTCTTTTTGAATGTGCAGATCAAGCTAATAAGAGGTGGCATCCACCAGGTGTTGTGACCAGAAAGAAAATCTTATTCAGATGTGAAAACGATATGTACTCGGTGGGATGCATATTAATCTATGCGATATCTCGTACAGTTCCTCCAGACAATAAGAAAGCTGCATGTGATCTTGTCGACTTTGTTCCAGAAGCATATCATTTGGTTAAGGGGTTGATGAAGAATAGTCATATAAAACGGTACTCATCCTCTCTCTGTCTTTGCAATCTCTGTGTCTAATATAGGTCGTACTCATATAGCTTGTACTCATTATCATCGTGTCTCTGTCTTTGGTCTTTGATCTGATATAGGTTGTACTCATTATCATCATCGTGTCTCTGTCTTTGATCTGATATAGGCTGTACTCATTATCATCATGGTGTCTCTGTTTTTGCAGTTTTAAAGCAGGGAAAGCCTGTGGCCATCCTTTTTTCTGGAAAAAGGACAAGAAGATGCGTTTCTTTGAGATTGCTAGTAACAGAGTCGACTCTGATACAAAAGCTGACCTACAGTCGGTGATGACGTTTAGTTTGAGCAACACTTTGAAAGGGAAAACCAACGTTACTAATTGGAAATTATGGCTAGAGCCGGATTTAATAACCCACATGAACAAGCAAAAAGCGAATTACCAAGGCTGGCAGTTTTTGGACTTAGTGAGGCTCATGCGGAACACTTCCCAACACTTACAAGAGCTTCCCCCATCTTTGCAAATATTTTCTCAAACAGAGCTTTGGGAACACTTCGATATGAAGTTCCCACCTCTCCTAATAGAAGTTTATAAAGTGGTGGAGAAACTGGTCGAAGGAGACAACCACGAAAAAGCAGTCAAATTTGGAACCTTCTTCGAAGAGTAAACAAGGTTAGTGCTATTCTGCTATCACAGTGAAGATATTGTGTTCTTTCTTATCATTAACACAGTCTTCTTGTTAGATTTTGCATATTCGTTTTAGTAGAGATAGCTGCTGTTAAATGACTGCTATAAAACTGTGTATAGCAATTTCTGAGGTTGTTGTGTGTAGCTAACTTGTGTATGCGTATGTGTTGGTTTAAATTGCGGTATTGAATATATACTATTAAGTGCAAGAAGCTTGTATCTTTTCGGTATAGTTTACTGTTGTTTAATCTGTGTTTTTGATGATGTATAGTTTGTTTGATGTGCATTCTCTTAGATAGCTCTGAAAAACAAAGTTTCTTGTTGGGTGATTTGATAAAAGTTTCTACGGTGTGCAGAAACATTAGTCATTTGACTACTTTTGTCCATCTTTTTGCAGATTAAAACACAGGATGAGATAACTAGCATCAAAAGCGAGCTTGCAGTTATGGAGCTCGAATTTCAGGTCCTTATATCTACTTTTCATTGTCTGTGATGGTGTTTACGTTTCTTGAAGCTAAGTTGCTATTTGTCCATGGTGTTTTAGAGCCACGTAGAGGCTTAGAGATGGGAAGTTAACAGACTCTGACTTTGAGCTTTGTGGTTTCCTTCTTACTGCTTGTCCCCTGATATGACTCTGACTTGACCATTTGTTATAAAGTTCTGTTTTGGTTTCGGAAAGAGGTCTAGAGAGACTCACTAATACACAGCTCTTCTGCTTTTCATTATGAATGTCGAACTAGTGATAACCATTTGCAATTGATAGGTGCAAGTTAGCTCTTCTGCTTTTCTTTGCAGTCTTTGTTTAGCTTTTTCTCTGCTCTGTGTAAGAAGAAAATGCTCGTTGAATGGTTGAAGTTTATTTGGAAATGCTAATGCTCGTTGAATGTTTGAAGTTTGATGCATTTGTGCTGCTCGTTGAAATATGTTTGAAGGTCTTCATTTCTCATCTTTGTTTCCAGGCCTTGCTTCAAGGAACATGCAGATTTCAAGGTCTTCATTTCTCATCTTATGTCATTTCAAGATGTTAAAGACGTTAAAAACAATTAGTGCAACCCTTTGTGTTTTAGAACTTTTTAGCTGCAATGTATGTTTCAATTAGAAATGACTCAGTTTTGGATTATTGATCAGTTTGTCACAAAAGATAATAACAAAAGATTGGACAAACATCAACTCGATAACACAAGTTTGCATAACGGCGTGGACATGATGGCCGGTTAATATATGCTTCTGATTCCAGTTCCTGCTTTCCTTGGCTTAACAATACAAGGGAGTAGTGTGGGGCTTCTGGGAGCTGCCCATTTTGAACTCCACGATCTTTTGCAGACGTCTTCCAGCTCAATCGACACTTCCTTTCTAGACAAAGCGTCGACAGCTTTGTTCACCAATCCTGGTTTATAGTGAGTGAATATCAATCTTTGTCACCCACCAAGTTCAATCTCCACACGAGCAACTTCGGGTCCCCCAACAGATAGTAGTTCTGTATGGCGAAGACAATGGCCATCAATTCCCGCTCAAAGCCTGACTATATATAGCCCAACCGTAGGAAACTTTTTTTATCTCAGGAATTAATGTTGCTTTTGGAGTCCAAACATCAAGCAATCATCAACATGCCGTAATCTCTCTTTTGAAGAACCCCAATGCCTAGTTGATTCGCCTGCAAATTCAACTTTTTTTGCCCCGAGGAAGAGAATCCAACAGATTAATTGCATTTGCTTTCCTTTCCTTTCTGGTACACGACCATAAAACGACTCTAACTAGGTGAACACCTAAGCTAATAAGTCTTGGAATCTAGATAGGATGAGATGAGAAGATAAACGAAGAAATGAAGGTTGAAGATGAAGAAAGAGAATTCAAACACAAATTCCATAATTATGTTTCAGGAAACCACCATTCAGTGCAAGTCTTTCACGAATTATTTATCTAGAGACACATTAAACAGTCTGAATAGCCGTGTACATACTTTAGGCCGACTACTCCAAATGTAACCCCAGCGGCTCCAATAGCGGCTCCACTCGCGCCTATAACCAAAGCAGTAATGTCTGTAAAACGGCGGCCACTTCCAGGGTCCACTCTCCCTGAGATCACTTTGCAGGACTTGTCAGCTTCGTTGTATAGAGAGCAATCGGCTCCTCCTTCAGTGATGGCTTTTGCGTTCTAATAACATCGCAGGTCAGGTCAGGTCTAGTCAGGTCAGAGATGAAGATACAACTGAATGGAGGGCGAGATTAGGTCTAGCTTACAAGAGTAAAGATGCATTACCTTTTGCCTGAAGCTCTTCATAGTTTGGCTGACAGTGAGAGTATCCCTCGGTGATGAAGATAGTTTGACGGAATGATCCTTCCATTCGTCTACAAGCTTCTTAAGAAGAGCAACGCTAGCTTCTAGATTCTCCGCATAGACAATGTCCCAAAGCTTAAAGCAATCAGCGTTTTTGGCCAGAGACCAGATAGCGATTGCTGTAGCTTCCTCGGCTAAAACAGGATTTCCTGTAACAACAACAAGGGTTAACACATAACAAGATTCTATTTGGAAGCAGAAAACTCAAGGTTTCGTTTGTTACTGATACCTTCTCCAGCTAAATTCAAGGAGCTAGTGAATATCTGCTCCATTGTATTCGTTCCTGGTGCAAGAGCCACTTCCTTCAACAAGGGGTAAATTGCTTCAAACCTCTCTGTAGCCTGTGCGCAAACAGAGACCATGCTTGTGATCAGAATCGACAAAAGCATTATTAAGATTTTGTTTTATAGACTCCAATACTAGCACATACCTTGGTTCTTGCGGATGGATCAGGGAATGTAAGCCGCAGCAAGATCTCAAATGAAGCAAGTGGAATCAGCGGCTCTCCCTCCCTAACAGCTCCCTTCACAAGTATGGCCCGAGCCTTTGGATTCGACAGAATGCTGATAAGAAAAGAGCATACACAAGATGAGATGATTGTGACATAAGCAGAGGAGAATCACAAGAACACTTTTTTTGTTTTGACTCACTTCTCAACGAATTGCAGGATGAGATCCATTGACTCAGGGCTGCACACCTTCATCTTCTTATCACCCATTAGTGGTAACAAGTTGTGCGCCCATGCATACAAGCCAGCAGATAAATCATTTTGGGAGGCCTGAGCCATCATCCAAACCACAAACGGAAGCTTGTCCTCTCCTCCATACGTGGGTCTCTCCCTCAGCATCCGCAATACCGTGATCAAAGCATCAGGTCTACTACGCAACACCATTGCTAGTGCAACAAATGTTCCCACCTATTATCGTCAAACAAATGCAACATAATTGAGTTGGTTAAACAAAGGTAACTGGATACACCATGAAAGCGATAAAACTGATTCGTTTCCCAAAATTACCTCAGACTTGGAAGACGTCTGTTGAGCACCCTTCTTCCCACCTTTGCCACGTCCTTGTTGTGCTTCCATCTCAGCGACGATACAACCACCCGCCATTGATACAAACTTGCAAAGTTTCTCACTTGTACGATCTTTGATCCACTTGTTTGATACGTCGTAGACAGGTTTAGGAATTTGAGATAATGGAACCTGTTTATATATCAAGATGATAATCAGCCTCAAGAATCTAAATTATACATAGAGTCTCACAAAAACGTAGAAGAAAATAGCTCACATCGATCAGCGCGGACAAAGTAGACTCCTTGAACATCTTCACCCATGGAATTGATACTTGGGAGAATGCTTCCTTAAGGTGAACGCAAAATCTCAAAAGCTGAAGCTCCTGCAACAGCTATAAACAAACAACAACAAAATCTTCCTGTTAACAAAATTTGATTTAGGTCAGAATTCCAGTCGTGTGGTAATCAAACCAACGAATTTCAACTTACATATCTCTCGAGATAACCCTTAAGATGATCGTGATCGATCTCCTTAGCAGCTATGGCCAAAGCGTCCAAAGACTCTATCAGCTTTTTAGTTTCCTCCACGTTCGGATTCTCGATCCTCGCCGCTCCCGCACCGTTCGATTCATCTGTAGCTGGGTTTTCATTCGCCCGTTTTTTCTTCTGATGGCGCGTCCGGTTTACGGCTTCCTTCGATCCATGGCCGGCGTCGGAGCTACCGGTAGAGGACTCAGATTTGATCAGATCCATTGGCTTTTCTAACGCTTCTCACTCTTTCCCCTCTTTCTTTTTTTCTCTCGATAACTCTCTCCGGCGTGAAAAACAGAGACCAATAGAGGCCCGATCTAGAACTCACCGAGAGTCGAAGAAAGGGGATGTCAAATCCTAGAAGATGATGGATGAATTGAATCGCGAAGAACACAGTTTGTTATCTGATTAATATTTCTCTAAACCAATGGTATAACCGAAATCCCAACCCAAACCCGACCCCCAAACCGAAATCTCTGATTAATCATATCATTGGTACTTAATATTTCGGTTTCGTTCGGGTGATATCCAAAACCCGAATATCTAAAACTGTGTTTTTATATCATCAGTTCACACGACCGATATTTTAATGCGATATTTATAGTTTACTTTCTTAAACTGCTTTTATATAAGTTTGAAACTTTTTTTGAGAAATATTCAAGAGAGAATATTGGTAATAACAATTTGGTACCGTATGTAATAAAAATCTGTAGTTAATATGCAATTTTGTTTTATAAATATTACATACATATTGTCCAAATTCAGATTTATACCATCATAAGGTCATTCGAGGATATTCGGAAAGAAATATTTTCCAAACTTCGATTTATACCATAACAGAATCGTTCCTCAGATGAAACACCCTAAAAACAAGAAAACAAAATGAGCTCAAAGAGGTAAAGCAAGAAACATGAAAAGTGTTTAGGTTGTTAACTTATTACAATCCAGAGCCAGGAACGGTGGAGATCCTTGTGGCTTCTAAAAGCTTAAGGCAATAGAAGACGTCAGGAACCTTTTTCGGCTTGTTTAGCTGCTTGGACTGCTTTCGACGGCAGCTTTATCAGAGGAAAAGAGTACATTGCACCTTCCGTGAAGTTACACGCAGCGTTCTTCCAGCTGTTGAATCCATCAATCATGATCTTTGCTCTTCTTCTCAGTGACTCTAATATCCCCTTGCTGTTCAAGAAAGTCTATGAGATCTTGATCCTTCATTAAAACGGTCTTTATTTAGGTTGAAAGCAAGAAATGTCTCCTGGCTTTTGGTGGACTAACCATAAAATCTTAGAAGTTGAATTGGAAACTTTGGACTAGCCTCATGAAGAAAAAGAAAGGAAAGTCTTTTATATTGCTTTAGTATAAATGCATTGCTTTGCCTCTTTATGCTGAACATTCTAGATGTAATTGGCTTGACGTTATGAGTCTTGCCTAGGTCGTTATGAGACCTTGCTTCTAGTTGTTCCTATACTTATCTATCATTATCTATCATTGTACGCCTATTATTATCAATAAGAAGACGAACTTGGGTGTAGGTTCATATAAAAATGAAACCATTTTTGTAACCAAATGTTACTAAGAAATAACCTTACAAATATCTGCGCAGGGACGTTGGGACTAAGAGCTATAGATGAAATCTTGTATATCTCCTCAACAGTCTGCATTACCAAGAAAACTCTTGGAGGGATATTAGTCATCTCAAAGTAACCACCTCGTTGTCCACATTCACCCCAACATCCTTTAGAAACGGTGTGGAAAGATACAAGCTGGGATTCTTTGCTGATTGGTGCTCCCATATCCCTATTATTATCAATAAGAAGACGAACTTGGGTGTAGGTTCATATAAAAATGAAACCATTTTTGTAACCAAATGTTACTAAGAAATAACCTTACAAATATCTGCGCAGGGACGTTGGGACTAAGAGCTATAGATGAAATCTTGTATATCTCCTCAACAGTCTGCATTACCAAGAAAACTCTTGGAGGGATATTAGTCATCTCAAAGTAACCACCTCGTTGTCCACATTCACCCCAACATCCTTTAGAAACGGTGTGGAAAGATACAAGCTGGGATTCTTTGCTGATTGGTGCTCCCATATCCATCAAAACCCTTTAAGAAGACAAGAATCAAATCAGTGGTGATGACACACAAAGAAAACTACGTAGGCCAATGAAAAATGATTTTACCATCTTGGAACTGATAAAAGGATGCTTATCTTGGTATATGTTCTGCTGATACACTTCGTCTCCAAGAAGAGCCAATCTCTCATCACAGTAGAGCCTCGATATCTCTTGTAAGTTAGCTATGCTAAGACACTGTCCGAGGTTGGGTTTCCAGGGTTAATAATAACCATTGCCCTCACCTGCCATTAAACCATGTGTCTTATAGAAGCCTCTTGCAATGAGAGGAAGAGTTGAAGAATTTACATAACTCACTGTGATTCCTTGAGAGCGAGCCTGAGCAAGGGATTGGCGAAGGTTGTGAACATCAAGTCCCCAGTTTTCAGTCTCTTCAAGATAGTAAGGAACAAGAGTGCCACCTAACAGAGATATTGTAGCTGAGTAGAGTGGATACTGTGGTACTGGAACCAGAATCTGCCAACCAAGAAAAACTTGTGATCGCTTAGTCCCCAAATAATTCCAAATTTGAAGTCAAAGTTAGCTCCTGGTATTACTTACCCCGTCTTTCTGATCGCTTATGATACACATCTAGCAGAAATGGTTCTTGGCATAGAGCAACCACCTGTATTAGTTTTTGATCTTTTTAGGCTTGACGTAAGACTGAACCAGACAGATTTACATCATCAAAAAAGTAATCAGAATTTTATATAGACCTGGCGAGGGAATGTGAGAGGCTTTTGACCTAAAGCATGAGGGTTTCCAACATTTGTGAGAATGATCTGTAAACGTGACATGATTCCATATCCTTCTCAAGTTAATAACAGCAACAAGAGTGAAGGCAAAGCTCATAATTTACTTTTGCAATTGCATAATAAAAGCTGAAACCTTTTTGCCTTCTTTCTGAAGCTCAGAAGCACGGAAGTAGAGCTCGCCTCTCACTGCATACTGACGATTCTTCACGTTTTCATTCAGAGACTCGTCGTCGAATGCCTTGAGAGACATTTTCAGGATTTTCTTTTCCACGCAAAAAGCAAAACGCTTTCCTCACTTCTAACATTATCAACGCTCTCTACAACTCACCTTGGACTCAGTTTCGTTACCCCCAAAGTTGAGCACAGCAAGAAAGAGACAGTTTTTATAGGAAAGTTTTTATAAAGAAAACTTATAAATCTTCAGCAGATTACAATTGTGTGCATATGACGTGAAATTGGACACTCGTCAGATCATTTGCATGTCATGTGGCACAAGAATAACGCAAAAATATGAAGCAGCAGAGCCACTGGACTCGTTTAGTTTGAAAACTTTTTTTGAGTTCTGTTAAACTGTTATTACAATTTACGTTCTTAAACTATTTTAATGCGATATTTATAATTTACTTTCTTAAAAGTTAAAACTGTTTTTCTATTAGTCTGAAAACTTTGTTGATAAAACATCAGAGAGAGTATTTGTAATAACAATTTGGTACCGTATGTAATCAAAATCTGTAGTTAATAAGCAATTTTGTTTTATAAATAAAATACATATTTTCCAAATTCAGATTTATACCATAAGGTCATTCGAGGATATTCGGAAAGAAATATTTCTCAAATCTGGGTTTATATCATAACAGAATATTTTAACCTCTTGGTAACTAGAAAAGGAATCGAACAAGTGCAGTAGCAGCGGCTACAGCACAGCCTAGAAGATAAGTAGCACCGCCTACATCAACTAAATATTCACGGCGACTCCCTAAGATCTGTTTGCAGTACTTGTCAGCTATATTGTGTAGAGGACAATTGGCTCTTCCTTGAGTGATGGCGGCTATTTGGTTCTGAGAAAAATCCAAGAGATGAAATTACATTTGTGTTGAGAGGGTGAACATTACATAGGAACAGATTAGAACTTGAAGAGTAAAGATGCATCACCTTTTGCCTGAAAATCTGCAGAGTGTGACTGACAGTGAGAGCATCCCTCGGTGATGATGATACTTTGATGGAATGATCCTTCCATTCGTCTGCAAGCTTCTCAAGAAGATCAACACTAGCATATAGATGTGCGCATACAGAGACCATGCTTGTGATCAGAATCCACATACGCATCAAGTCTTTTGTTTTATAGATTCCAATACCACCACATACCTTTGTTCTTGCGGATGGATCAGGGAATGTAAGCCGCATCAAGATCTCAAATGAAGCAAGTGGAATCAGCCGCTGTCCCTTCCTAACAGCTCCACTCACAAGTGTGGTTAGAGCCTTTGGATTCGACACAATGCTGATCACACAAAAGTACATTAAACAAGATCAGACGATTGTCACAACTCACAACAATAAACATATAGCAGTAGCAGAGGAAGAGACCACAAGAAAACTTTCAGACTCACTTCTCAACCAATTGCAGGATGAGATCCACTAACTCACGCCTGCAGCCGCTCTTATCACCGGCTACTGGTACCAAGTAATGCGCCCAAGAATACAAGCCAGCATATAAATCAACTTGGGCGGCCTGCATGCCCACATTTTACAGGTTCAGAAAACGCAGAGATTTCGACACTCTTGGTCCTAAGGGAAAATAAATAAAACAGGACACGAACCTGAGCCGTCATCCAAAGTATAAGCAGAATCCTGTCCTGTTCTTGATAATTAGGGTCCTTCGTCAGCTTCGGCACCACGAAAGCCAAAGCATCAGGTTTACCACGCAACACCATCGCTAATGCAACAAATGCTCCCACCTATATATCGTTGAAACAAATACAACATAATGGAGTTAGTCACACAAAGGTAACTAGTGGATACACCATTCAAGCCATAAAATCTGATTCGTTTTCCCAAATTACCGGTGTTAATCTAGAATTAGGATATTGTTTTGCCCAATCAGTGAGAATAATATCACTCGCCCACACTGCAGACTCAGCGAGTGTCTCACTTGGCTGTGTTTTGATCCACTCGACTGATACCTCGTAGACACGTTTAGGAATGTGAGATATTGGAACCTGTTTATATAACAAGATGATAATCAGCTTCAAGAGTCTAAAGTTTCTGAAATTTCACAAGGAACGTAGAAGGAAGAAAGAGCTCACATCGACCAGCGTGGAGAAAGTAGGCTCCTTGAACACTTGTTCCCATGGAAATGATACTTTGGAAAGATCTTCATTGATGAAAAGGTAAAATCTAAGTATCTGTAACGTCGGAAGATACCACGCAGCATCCTATTAACAAAATTAAAGTTTGATAAGTCGGTTTTCGATTTGGATCAGAGTTCCAGTGATTATTAACCATACGGATCCAGCCGAATTTCACATCGCACGCACTTACCAACATTTTGCCGAGAAATCTCGCAAGCTCTGAAGGATCGATCTTTGCCGCAGCTGCGAGCAAAGTCACTCGCGGCTCTTGAGTTTCCTCCGCCTTCAGATTCTCATCCCTCGCCGCTTCCTCACCGTCCGACTCATCTTCCACACCGGAATCAACCATCGATGCACCGAAGACGGCATCGCCCTTAGCTACGGTTTCGATCGGAACAATATTCTCATTAATCGCCGCTCCCGCACCATCCAACTCATCTTCCACACCGGAAGCAGCCACAGGTGCACCGAAGACCCCATCGCCCTTATCTAGGGTTTCAATCGGAACAATATAGTCCCCAAGGCCGCCTTCCGCCGCCAGCTTCGCCAAATTTTTCTTCTGACGTTGCTTTCGGTGTACCACTGTCTTCCATCCATCGCCGGCATCTAAGCTACCGGTAGAGGTCTCAGATTTGATCAGATCCATTAGCTTTCTTAACGCTTCTCGCTTCTCGCTTTTCCTTTTCCTTTTTCTTCTCCGGCGTGAAAAAACAGAGACCAGACGACGAGATAGCAAACGAAAAGGCACGCGAAGATGAGGTGCATCTATGAAAAAGGGATACTTAAAAACTGATGGGCCCATTTAAATTCTTTAACTATTGGCCCATTTTAGTATCCTTAAATGTTAGGCACTATTGCATTGTCATTGTTTAGAATTTATACTTAACTAGGGGTTAGCGTGGGTTGCATTAATGTATATATGTATAATTCTGATAAAAAGACACAGTTTGATAATTTTGGCTGGTAAGATATACTTTTTTTTGTTAGAGGGTTTGGCTGGTAATATATACTCGCATGGGATTTGAAGTTTTTTTGAGATAAAATTTGGTTTTATAAAAATAAAATTAAAATATTAAGAGTTTATTTTTCTTTTACATAAGAGTTTATTTAAAATATTTTGTGTTTGTAATTCCTTTTTGAAAAGACAGATAAGAATTGATCAGACTGGTTCATCTTTAACATATTAGCAGTCATACCTCATTTAACCCACAATTACGCTTACACGCAGTCAAGAAGTGTCTTTTTTTGTTACATGGAATCATAAATGGACCATAATCAATTTGAATATCATTAACAAAATATAACTACATACATAAATAATTGAATACTCCAAGATCAGCGTAAACCCAGACAGAAATATGTGAAGCATATACTTACTTTTTCCATGTGACAAAACATTAGTTCTCGCAAAGACCTCCTGCTCATATTTCTGAGCTACTTGCTTTCTCTCTGAAAACCTGAAAATGGCAGTTAACGATAATGAAATAGTATCAGGAAGAGAGAGAAAACTCATAGTCATAGAGACCTTTGAATATAGCCTGAGAAAATAGAAATGAATAATTTCAAGAAAAAGTTTTGGACATCGTAATTAGAGGGTTAGCAAACCAACGATTACAAGTCCATACACGTTACACGTATGAAGTGGATTTACGTTTCCCATTAATGTGCCTGCCTTGTTACATATCGCATATTCATATTCTTTGACGAACCGGACGCGGACGGAAAATTTAATCAATCGATTATCTAAGACCGCTCTTGATAAATACAATCAAGAGTAGTATATGGACAGCATGAGAAATTTAATCAGTCATAAGATCGCTCTTAATAGATTTGGACGTTTTCATCGTTTTGGCCGTATCAAATGACGAGTATCATCAGAAGAAGGCCGTTACACTTGACGGCGGCCGTTCTGTTTCGGCTTGTTCCGTTATCTCCCTTCTCAGGAAGTTCTGGTTCCGTCAACTCGGATGCGACTCGTTACCCTGAGTTAACTCGAGTGCCGAGTTTAGTCGAGGGATGCGATTACAAGCACTGGCTCGTGCTCATGAAGGCTCCCAATGGATACCCAAATCGAAACGACATCGTCCGAAGCTTTGTCAAAACCTTAGCCATGGCTCTAGGGAGGTAAATTAATATTCAATTTGAAATATTCTCCAAATTCAGTTTTTATCAATAAGGGTTCTGCAATCTGGTGTTTTAGTACACATAATGCAATCGAAAAGTCCATTTTTTTAATGAAAGATCGAAACTTTGTGGAGTCTGATTTGAGGATTGTTGTGTATATGCAGCGAAGAAGAAGCTAAGAAATCCATGTACTCTGTTTCGACAAAGTACTATTATGCATTTGGCTGCAGAATTCATGAGCCTTTGACTTATAAGATAAGATGTATATTGAAACAAAGCTCTCATCTTCTTCAATTTGTTCTTAGTTTGTTGTGTGACAAATGCTATAACTGTGGCTTGTTATTGATTGCAGCTCTTCCTGATGTTAAATGGGTTTTACCAGATTCATTTACAGTGGATGGTGAAAGTGGATATGGAGGTTTTATTTGCTGCTTTAGTTTTGTTACTCCTTTATCAGATCATAACATGAGATTGTAAAAAATTGGTTCTTTATCAGATTATAACATAAGATTGTAAAAAATTGGTTCTTTGGTGGACAAAAGGAGCTTAATTTGTGTTTCTCTTAAACATGGATAATTGGTTTTGCAGGAGAGCCGTTCGTAGATGGGGAGGTTGTGCCATATGATGAGAAGTACCATGCGGATTGGCTACGAGATCAAACTAATGAGGATGGTGAAACCAGAGTAGTCACAAAGAAGCCTAGGAGGAAAAGGAACAAGAAGTCTATATAGCTGTTGATATTTGATAGATTTGGTATTCAGAAAGTTTCTTGCTACTCAAGTAGATTCCAGATCATTGTGTAGCTACTGAACTTAGAAGCTAACAGAAAAAAAAAAGTGTTTTTAAGTGAAGATTCTAGAGAGTTTCTTATATATATATGGAAGTGTAATGATCTCAAGATAATGAAGAAGCTGCTTATCCGTTTATTTTCTGCTCTCTTTGCAGACTGGTCGTCACTTTTAAGGATTCATCACAGTTCTCTGTATTGGTTTAGTTTAAGTTAGTGACAAAACCTGTTCGGTAATGAAGTCTCCAAAGAAATAGACTAAGTCCACTAAATTTGTCTGCTTCCTGTTCTTGTTTGGCAAACCAGGACCATGTAGGGATACAAAAATTAGAGGGGAAGAGTTTTTCTACACGTCTTTGTAGTGGGGTTTGGTGGGATTAAGAAGTCTTTCTTCATGACCAAGGTATGTAATTGTAATTGTAGTTATCTGATTTGGCTTCAAATGAAACTGTTTTGTCTGATGCTTGCGTATGTAACCAGATTCTTAATCATTGACTAGGAACATTAAGCATACACCACTGAAATTCTTAGTTGGTGAACTATAGTCAGTTTAGGATTTGATGTTGAAATCTCTTGTGGTGAAAAAACAAAAAGAAATCAAAGTAATAATACTGTCCCTTTTGAACACGCATACAATTCAGACTCATACATCTGTGGTTACAAAATTGAGATATTGACTGCTCAAATAATATCTATGTAGCTCACTTTTTAAGCTACGTTTCTATCACAACATTACTATTTTCGTTTATCAAACACAATATTTTTTGTATTTGCTTTGTATACTATCGTTTCCTAATAGCTATACCTGTATAAAAATCAAATAAATACTTCTTTGTGCAATTAATTACTCTGCTTTGATGTATAAACTGGTTCCTAGACTCTTGTAGAGAGTAGTGTCTGAATATACGGCACGAGACCTCATTGTCTTGTGTTTACGTCTCTTCCTTCGACCTGCTCTAAGTCGTGTACAGACTTTTGTCTCCTTCTCTGTTTCATCTTTTGTGACTTTGACATCATCTTTACATTTGATGTCATTTGCACCTTCCACTGGAACAATGTACACAAACGGTCCGTTTTGGATGTCTTTGAGGTCTAGAATAGGCTCTAGCGTCTTGACAACAACGGCCATAGTGGGTCTTGACTTAGGGTTGTGGCTGAGGCACTGGTAAGCCAAAGAAGCTGCCTTTCTGATCCCTTCAACCGAGTAACGCCCTTCGAGACTCGGGTCTATGATCTGTTCAAGCTTGTTGTGGTCTTTTAACATTGGTCTTGCCCATTCCACTAGGCTCCTCCCTCTCTGTGACCTGTACTTCTCCACTGCCTTTCTAGCTGTTAGCATCTCCAAAAGCACCACACCGAAACTGAAAACGTCGCTCATAGTAGTCAAATGACCTGAAAATGCATCAAGAAACTTGTAAGATTTGATTGTACGTAAGAAAATGACAAGTAGCCTTATTGTTATGTTCTGTAAGACTTTAACCTGCTGAGATGTATTCTGGAGCTGCGTAGCCTTCTGTGCCCATTACACTTTTGGTAAAGTTTGAGTCTTGTGCCTCTGATCCATCTGTGGCTAAGCCAAAATCTGAAAGCTTTGAGCTGTAGTCCTGAAAGGTTTCAGATATGAGATATGAGTTGCTTGACATGACAATATAAGAAATAACAAGAGAAGCATTCCAATTACCGAGCTCAAGAGGATGTTGGAAGGCTTGAAATCTCTGTAAATGACAGGTTTCTCTTCTTTGTGAAGGAACTCAAGTCCTTTGGCAGCACCAAGCAGAATCTTCACTCTTGTTAACCAAGGCAAGGCTCCACCATACTCTGCATTGCACCAAAATCAACTGATATTTTGTTAGGAATCTGCATCTATCTTTAACAATCATTTTTATTTTGAACGACTTACTTTGAAATAGATGTTCTTCAAGGTTGCCTCGTTCCATGTATTCATAGACTAGAAGTCTGTGATCATCTTCACAGCAGTATCCAATCAAGTGAACAAGATTGGGATGCTTCAACTGACCAAGGATTATAACTTCAGCCTGTATAGTTTTTATGATCCCATTTTTCATATAAGCTTAACATATAATAATACTGTAAATAAAATTCATCAATATGGAAATGGAGAAAATTTTCATTACCAGCCATTCTCTATGGCCTTGTCCACCTTCTCGTTTCAAGGCCTTGACAGCAACATTTTGAGCTTTTAAACCAATCTTGAGGCTATCATCAACAAACCCTTTGTAGACTTCTCCAAACCCTCCTTCACCGAGGTAATTGTACTTTGAGAAGCCTTGTGTGATCGTTTTGAGCTCTTGGTAGGTGAAGATGTGAATGTCTATGAGGAAAGAGTTTGAGAAGTCGTTGAGGGAGATGGTTGAATTGCTGAAATCCGACAAGTAGACTCTGCTTCGGACAGAGGTTTGCTTGGAGAGTATAAGAAGCCTTTCCTTTGATGGGTTTGTTTTAGCCTTCTGGTTTGTGTTGTTGATGCAGCTTATTGGAAGACATATATTCTTCCAAGAAAATCTCATTGGTTTCATCTGAAAGAATCTCTCTCTCTCTCTCTCTCTCTCTTTGTGTTTCTTTTTGAAGATTTTGTCTCTCTATCTTAATAATGGTTTTCTTTTCTGAATTATATAGGAGATGATGAAACTTCTTTGAAAAGGGCTACTGAGAAATTGGAGAGAGAGAGAGAGAGAGAGAGAGAGAGAAAAAGAGAGAGGTGAGATATTGGTGAAGACTCCAAAAAGTAAGTCTGTAGTCTTAGAAAGCCATCCAATGTGAAGGAGGCATGACATGAGCCACTAAGCATAAGCAAATATGAATAAAATATGAAAAACTGATTAATTTGCATTGATTTCTGATAACATAGAGCTTAGATGTGTGTTATTAAAATGTGTAGGGGACATTTTTCAGAAGCGGTTTTGGATCTATTAGAAATTTATTTGACTAGCTCAAGCCATCTCATTCTTTTTTAAGCTTATTGGCTATTATCATACACTTGTAACTTGTTAATGAAACTGTTATATATGTATGATATATTCATTTTCATCTAGAAGAAATGTTGCTTGTGCTAAATATTTTATGATAGTTCTCTGAATAATAATAGTAACAAGTTGGATTAATTTCTGGCTGTGAAGTTAGTATGTAATCCAATACCTTTGGCAGCACGGCCCACACCATTGACCTGAGACAACGGTATCCTCTGTTTTCTCCGTTAGGCTGAGTTGTTAAAAGCACATAAAATAGTTATTTTAAGTCTCGGTCAATTGTATTTAATTTTATTTCCTGCTATTGCGATCAACTAAAAGTTTGTTTTTAACAACAATTTCACCTATCTTTCATTTATGACGAACATTATACATTTCTAATCACGCACTGAATCTGCCATCTTTGTTTCATTCTTTTGGAGATTAGGATAATTCAAGATTTATTTTAAAATTTTTCGTTTAATTAAAAATGATAGAAATGTTGAATTGAAATTCCACTAAATCAGCTCGTGTCGTGTCATACTCATACATAAAACATAGTTGCATTAGCAAGAAAGTTCTGTTCGAAACTTGTTTAATGTTTTATTTCTTTTAAATCAAATCTAACTTGGTTATGTTATATACGTGGTGGCCGTATGAGATAATGCACCATTATATATATTCGAGTAGTTAATACGAAGAGAACGGAGATTTTGCTTTTCGTTAAGGTCAATTTGCTCATTATTATTAATTCATTTTTCAACATGTTAAAATATTCTAAGAGCGACAGGACAACAACTTTATTACAATTTTTTTTTTTTTGTTGAAAAATTCGTCAATCATTTATTTATTTATTTATTAATAAGTCTCTCATTTTTCTTCAAGCTAGCCTAAAATACAAACATAAAAATATCATCCTTTGAACAAAAAAAAAAAAAAAATATCATCCAAGAGCTTTTCCGAGGAATCTGATTTTGAAAAGACTATAAATACATTAAAAACAAAAAAAAAAAAATAAAAGCTATAGTTAAAAAAATCGTTAATAGTGAGAAATTGCTACATTTTATTAGTGATTAAAATTGGCTCAAACAAAGATGTGAACTGTGTACACTCCAGTGACACATATAGCAAGTGACGTAGAGATTCTCCAAATTTTCACAAATCTTATATTTAGTCTTAGTCAGTTAAATCTTTATATCAAATCATTTGATGTACTAATATTGTACCTGTCAATTGCTTCTAGAGAATAGCTAACGTAAACTACATAGATCATATATGATCAAACTTTTGTTTTCAACAGTGATGTAGAAGGTATTTATGATTACAAAATATGATTGAAAATAAATTGAACCTTACCGAACTAACTTGGTTGGTTTATCTAATTTGACCTGGAATTTCAAGTGGCATACTAATAGAAACTAATAAATTGATGAAAGTATTCAAGAGGAAAATATTAGATCATTAGCAGCGAATCATTGAATTTGAATGAATGAGTGTAAAAATCTTTTGACTTCAACATTTTCTTCTTTACCATACGAACGACTAGATCATTAGCATTGAAATATTGAATCCGATGAAAATATAAATCAAAGATCAAGAAACGAAATAGAGAGGAATGTAATCATGAATTCAGGTGTTTCAACAATATACAAAAGGTGATCTTTTTTCTGGATCCCAATTTTGAGTATATATTTGAAAAAGAGGAACATAAAATAAAAATACATTTATATTGTGGCAGCCGTGGAGTGTGGCATCAATTAGAGAGATTGCTTTTGACCTTGGTCTATTTTACATAGATATTTTATTAGAACAAGATATAATCATGTGTATTTATGTTCTTGTTTAAAATATATGTATAAACAAACACTACACAACAGTAAAGAAGAAACTAAACTCGTTAAGTCCCTTCCTGTTTTGAATTTCACGCGGGGCCACAAAATGATTTGTTTATACTTCAACATATTACGTTTGTGCATACACACATACAAATGCCAAAACAATATTGTACGCCTAATATACGGCACCTTAAAATCAAACTATTTGGATTAAGTTTTTTACAAATAGAATGCACTTTTGCATTACGCAAGAGAAGAAAATGACGTTGGGAATATGATCTTGAGTTGGTCGATAATGAAATTGAACTTACTTGAGAGAGCTTTATATAGTATCCGGTAGTATTGTCATCGGTTGATACAAATGTGATCTCCAATCACTTCCATGATTCTATCAACAAGGCCATGTATAAGCTGAGTGAAGAATTGAGCTATTTAGCCATTTTGGTAATGCTAAAAATAATTTTATATTTAATAAATAAAATGAAATGAAACATTTCAGTCAAAACTTTATAGGTCACTCTTGTCTCAAATCTCTCGTAGTTTTCTAAGTATATATCATGGACAAGAAAAAAGGAAACAGGAAACATGAACCGCGGATTATGACATAATCAAAATTTTGGAGATGGGACAAAAAAGGAGGCTTTATAGACACAATCTCACAACAAAGGGCGAAAAAAAAAACATCAAATCTGCTCGGAGTGTTTGCCACTGGAAGAACTTGCAAGGCCTTTGGTTCGAGTAAGCTACTTCGGAGAGAGAGAGAGAGAATCAATAACATATGTTTCATCGGTAAGTTACAACTGCAAGACAAAGGAAAAATAAACATCAGCAGCATGAATCTCTAATCTATCATCGAGCTTTTTAATAAGATTAAGATTGATCTAGTGGACGATGGTGAAAAACGAACCTTGTTGCCTCTGAAGTAGACATTGACAATCCTATTTACATCGGGAGAAACCTGCATAGAGACTAAACGTTATATACATTTGCTTCACTTCTTCACTTAATGTAGAAGATTAAGAAAGAGGGCTTTCTGTTATCAAACCTCAAAGAGTTCACAGTGGTAGCTCGCAGAAGAATTGACCTGAGACTGGGAGAGACCTTTCTATGGGAACTATATGTATTTTGAATGCTATCTGAAAACATGACTCCCGTTTTGTTGAAGCCTGAGACTCTCTATGAGGGACTGGTAGTATGACTTGAGGCAACGAATATCATTACCCTGAATACCAAAACAGAGCAAGGAGAAACTATGTTTAAGCACAATGACATGAGGATTATCTTTAAACCTATTGTATGTTTGTATTGAAGGAATCGAACCTGCAACTTTTGGCAATACTGCTCCGCCAAATCTTGTGGACAGTGTGCTGATGGAAAAGTTTTCGACATAAGATGCATGAGAAATGCATTACCAAATTTCTCATACATCACTTTCTGAGCCGTGATGATTTCACTGAACAAGACGTGCTGTATGCATATGGAAGGAACAAATCCAGTCAGTCGTGCAATTAAAACTCCAGTTTACAAAACTGATACTGGCCGAAAAAAAACGCCTAAAGAAAAAGAGAAATGAAGTTTGTTATGTACTTACAGTATTCGCATCACTGAACTCGAAGGATTTGTCGAGTACACTGTACAAACAGCAGTTTGTTGCAAAAGCTTCGATCATGAAATTCTGAAATCCTGGAACCTGAAAGCAAACAACTCTTGATAATGACATTTGTGCTTCTTCCATGAAGAGAAAAAAGGTGAACTAAGATTATTAAGCAGGCAAACCTTCTCCTCGCTATATGGCTTGGCACACCAATCTTTAATAAGCCTAATAAATATCTGCACGCATGCCTATTTTATGGCAAACAGTTAAAGAAGAATGTAATAAGTAAGCGAACGATATAAGATCATCAAAAGTGTGTGCAAATGTAAACAAAGGTTAAAAGTGTTACAAACCTTACGTACGGTAATATCCTTGTGATTACAAGAAGTGTGCAAAAGCAGCTGCATCATCGGATCTAGGTATGGTCTACTTTTAGGGGTAAGGAATACAGAAGAGAGATCGTGTGTAGCTATCACATGGAGAAATGTGTAGAGCGTCCTTTGAAGCTCTATCAATTCCCTCATTTCCTACACACACAAAAAGAGGATTTACAACTATTGATATAAAGGATGCTACGACATCAACTTGTTCCAATTTAGAATTGTAAGGTATCAAACAAATACCTCAGTAACAGCCCCAGGGCGTGAAGGGAACCCATCTCTTGGAATTACATTGAAAATCCTACCAGCAACCACAGGATATACTTCTTCCAGTATTTCACGGAGAGAACTGTTGAACTTGCAGATAAGCTGATTGAGTAATACCAAGAAACCAACCATTTCCTTTGGCTGCAAACACAATCCGTACACAATAAGAGATTATTTTGTTGAAAAATTGTGCTACAGTCGGTATAATTGCACAAAATGAAGTATCCTGATCATCAGATATTACTCCCAGAGAAGTCTAAACTAAACAAAAGCAGTTAAAATTTTCGTTATACCTCACTGTCTGCAAGTAGCTGTTCCAAAGCCTTGGGAAGATACGGAAACACAGAGGATCCAAGGGTATCAACCATACGGTGTATGAATGATGTGACCTGCATAGAAGAGGAACAAACTAATCACCAAACCGTAAATCGATATTCTAATTGAATAACACTACTGGTCACAATATGTATACTTATCAACATACAACTAAACTCATACCTTACTCCGCAGAGGCTCAACCTTTGGAAACTCAATCAGAATCCTTAGAAGCACATCTAGTGTCTGCAGTCAAACAATTGAAGTTTTTCAATAAGTAGAGTAACAATGATAGGCAAACGATGATCTACATGATTCATAAGATGAAAAAAAAACCATCTTTCGTACAAACCTGCTTAAACATGAGACCAATTCGAGGACGGCTCGCAGTAACAAGACGTTCACTGAAGCCCTGAATTCCAAACGAAAGTGTAAGGACAAGCCCAGAAGAGGGTAAAATCGAAGTACCAACTAACAAATCACTTGAATAAAAGAGCACAAACCTTGCTGAGAGCATTTATTGCCACAATAGCGAATTGGATATTAGCTATTTTCACAGGAAAGTCTTCAGAACTTGCAACTTTTGCCTCCACAAGTCCATTCTCAATCTGGTACAATCATATGGGAAGAAGTCTAAGTACATTTGACCATAAACAATGCTAAATAGTGTGATGTAAGAAAATAGTAGGAACCAAAACCTGTTGACAGAGAGGGGTAAGCAGTAAAGACAGGTAATCAGACTGCTTTTCAGCTGGGACATCCTCCAACCCTATTATTAATCCAATGGCCTACAGTAATTACAGATTTAGTTTACAGAGCTAAAACAATGTTTTTTCCAAATATGAAGAGAGCAGCTTCAAGGGGCAAGTCATAACCTCGAAAATGTGACTGCCATCTTCAGTTCCCGACAGTTCTCTTGATGCAAAGTTCATAGTCGTCAATTGAGACAACGTATCTTGGAGATTCTGATTTTTCCCCAAAAGGATATACTGGTTAGACAAAATATTAATCAAACATATAAACCGGATTTACAGAAATGGGTATACACAAGTGAAAAATCAATTCCGTACCTGCAGGATATTGTCAATGTATGGAACAAGCTTTGATTTCAACAATTTCACAACTCTCATGAACAGGTAACAAGCTCTACGGCTCACATGAACATTCTGGTGATGCAAACCCCTTTCATCAAGGAAAGCACCAAGAACATTGGGAATGTACTGCGAATTTTCCTGAATAAACTTCATGTACCTCGTTATGTTTTCTAAGTACACTAATGCAACTAGTCTATGAGAGTGACCAGGGAACTGAGTGGTCAAGAGCATCGGAATCAATTCACTCAAGCATCCAGACCCTGATTTCATTGCCTCCTCCGTCATAGACTCTCCAAGCGAATACAAAAGCGAGAGCGCAGCTTCTACTTCCTCAACATTTCTCTCGGACGAGGACTCAACAGCTTTCGCTAGAGAGTTTCGGATGAAATGCTGAGTAACCTCAGGAGCAACACGTCCCACTGTACGTAACAACACAAACAGATCTTTTCTAAACTCGGACATTCTATCTTCCTCTTCCAACCCAATCTTATCCAACGCATTAAGGTTATTACGATACACAGGATCATAACAAATCTGAATTCTAATCACTTCAAGAATCTGAGTAATGTGTAGCAGCTGCTTCTCCTTCAACGCAGGTAAACCTTTAAGAGTCGAAACGTAACCAAGAAGAAACTGAACAATGCTAAAAGTAGAATCAACCTCACAGTTCCGCATAACAAAAAAAACCGATGGCAGAACTTCATTCAGCAAATCCATGGAGAGTGCTTTCGTCTCCTCCGAATTCAACCGCTTATGGCACTCTAACACCTCAACAGCATAGCCAGTAAGCAAGGCAGACACTTTCGACACCAGCTCCGAATCAACATCATCCGATACCAAACCAAAAACACGGCTTATCTGAAGCGTCTGCAAAAGGGGAAGCTTTGACTGCGGATCCATCCGCTTAGACACCATAGCCAAAACGCACCCAGCCGCTGCACCACGGACTTGATCAGACAATCCATCAGAGAGAATCAACTCAAACAGTAGCGGAACAAACGCATCATTCGCCACCAAACCAATATCAATCCAAGAGACGAATCTCCTCATACAATCCAACACAGTAGCAGAGAGCTCAGGATCCGAATTCCTGTACAGCGACACAATGTCATACCAAGCTCGAGCAATCTGAGGCACACATTGCTGCCTCATCGCGTCCTTGACACGAGCAGCCACAGAGATCTCCTCAGGCGTTCGAGGGTAATCCAAGCTAATCAACTCATCATCCAACGCATTCAGAACCCGGCAAAACATGTCGATCACAACGCCGCCTTTGCTCAGGTGACGCATGAAATCAACGAACACGGAAGACCAAATCAAAGGGTACTCGAAATAGATCAGAGTCACCAGAACCTGAGCGAGCTTGTTCTTCACAAATGGCGGTCCTTCCACAACCCTCACCGCGTTCTCGTTATCGACAACCTCCAAACACGCCATGGAGAAGACGGATTTCCTCACGTAGCTCTGCTCGTCCAAGCTCATGGATCCGTATTTGACCCGTAAAACGTCCTGAAGCGTTTGCAAACACCAGAATTGGACTTGGACGAGGTTAGAGAACCAGAGCTTTTCGATACATATACTGCAAATTGATGGAGTTTCTTTCATTTGCTGACAATAAGTGACCGCCTGAGACTGTAACGCCGAATCCACAGCGCCGGATTCGAAGCTGATTACTATTGCTTTCTCAAGGTCATCCATTGTTAGCTAAATCCCTCTGGAAACCCACGAAAAACCCTCAAAACCCAGATTTATCAAATCCAGTCCCTTTTAATTGCATATAAGTCAACAATGCTTCAAATCAGTATCGTCGCCGAGTCCCGAAGCTTGTTTCTTCGTCTTCAACGTTCGCTTCCCGAACCAGATTCTGATGCGGAATTGCAAAAATAAACGCGGAGATTCGTTTGAGTGGGTTTCGCTTACCAAAGAGTAAGATCTTCGCGATTAAGCTACAAAAGGATCGGATTTTCGGAGTGGAGCTGAAATAGAAAAGGGAGTGGAAACCCTAAGCTGAGATTCTTCGAATTTGAAGATATAGTGAAAAAATATTTTTTATTTGATGAGTTTATAGAAAATTTCCTCTGAGGAAGATTTATATGAAGAAATTTGTGAGACTGGAGAGAAGACGGAGCTCGTAGGGTTTTTATACAGATTTTATTAGCGTGAAGAAATTTTCCCAAAAGCTGGTAAATAAAGAAATATCAGGAAATATAAGCATTTATTTACTGGGTATATTGTAAATTAAAATTAACGGTGAGCCAGTTTGATGAAACCGGCCCATGGGCTTTAAATAACCAAAATCGATAAGAACAGGATGATTAGTAACCTTGATTGAGGTTAGTTACACATGCAAATCGGTTTTGAAGAGCTTGTAGATTGGGATGAAAAATTGATGGGTGTTGAATTTGAACTAGAATTCTTTACTGATGGTTAACCGAACTGGCAGAATAAAGTGATGGACTATAGTGTTGGAGCCTTGGAGGGTCATTTTAATAAGCATAGTGTTGATGTGAAAAGATTTCTTGTTCTTGTGTTAATTATGTTGCGTTTGGTTCTAGAGGAAAATCGATAGGTTATTTCATTTCTTAGTTTTAGTTGAAAACTAGTTTAGGAACTCAAAAACAATAACATATTTGTTGCAAAAACAAAAATATTTAGTTTGGATAATATTTACATTTAACTAAAAAAATGTGATTATTGATTAAATTAGAATACTCCATGAAACTTAATTGCATTCAACTATCATAGACATAATTTAGGTGATCTTGATAGATTTTCTTTTTTACGGCAAACAACTTTGCTAGATTATAAATGGACCGTATTGGATTTCAGTGTAGTAAGTTACCAGGCCATTCTTCATCTTTTATTTTAAATCTAATCTGAGATATAACTTATAATTTTGTCACGTTACATCGTTTATAAATTACCAATCAGAATTTGAACCAAAATATCTAACCAAATCGTTGGTCAATGAACTGAATTTGCACTCAGAACTGGTCAAACTTGAGCAATTCCTTATTTTCTCACAACTCAAACATCTATAAGACAAACAAATTATGAAAAACATTTTGTCAAATCAAATTGTTGTCAACTCAACGAAGTTGCACAAATAAATTTTAATATATGTTTGCTAAAGAATTTGAACGTGAAATTTGTAATCGAAACTGTTAAAAAAAAAATCAGAAAACAATTAATACTAAGTGATTTGTTTTGCGTAAAACCATTTGCTGAAAAAGCGAATAGAGACATAGTTATGACAAAAAAAAAAGTTGGGACAGGATTCTGAAAATAAATTTGAAATCTCTGTTTGTCACATTTAATTACAGTTTTCTCATTCCAATATTTTGCTTAATTCATTATGATGTTACTCTAGTATTTTACTATTCAGTTAACATATCACTCAAATCTAATATAAAATTACACCTACAGCTGATTAGATCGTCTATTTTGTAGATATTTGGAGTACTTGTGATCAATTCGAACATATTGGATATATAAAATTTGGAATTAGCGATCAGTATCATAAATTTATGGCATATTCGTCTGCATGCACTTAGTGAATCATGCATAATTACACATTTTGGTTCGTTTTTAGTTTTCTACAAAGTTGGTTGACACTTTTATTTCATAAATCAATATGTTCTACGTGAGTATGGGACATAATTTATGTCAAAACTCAAGGTGGTCTATAAAATCGAATAATATTGTCATTATACTAATAGAGAACTAACATCATCTTACAAAATTCGTAATTCACTAAGAGAACACATAAATTTAAGTCGTAATCCCCAAAAAAAGAATCAGGAATCCAAGAAATATCTCATTAAATTAAGTATTTAAGTGTACCATTAAGAGAAGAGGCACAAAGCCCTATAAAAAGTCAGATGCAAGTGCCCAGAAAAGAATGTGTAAACAAGAAAGAGAAACCTCCTCTTCATTTCCTTCGTGCTACGACAAAACTTCACCGCCATCTGTTTTGTCTTAACTCTCTTTCGCATTTTCCTTTCTTCTTCTATTCTTCTTTTTTTAATATAACGAAAAAAAATTTGGTAGAAAACAAATAATCACATGAGACTACAAATCGTATAAACACACGAAACCCTAGCTATTTATAGTGGGAGAGAACGAGCTGGAGAGAAAGAGAGAGAGTGATAGAGCAAAAAAGAGAGAGAAAACTAGAAAATAGATGAACAAATGGTTGGGCTTTTCTTTGACACCTCGTTTGAGAATCTGCGATAGAGATCAGGAAGAAGAAGAAGAACCTTGCCACGAAGGAAACTATGTTTTCACCGATCAGCAAAAAGCTCTTATGCCTCTCCATTCGGATGGTTCTCTCTTCTCTACCGATCCTCGTGTATATATTGTTGAATTTCATGCATTTTCAACTCACAAACTAATTGATAATCTGTTAGCAAACAAAAAAAACTAATTGATAATCAAAGAATTGGATCTTGATGTTCATATTGTTACACATCTTGACTTTCCTACTTGTTCAGATGCAGGATTAATCCTACACATATAAATACATGATTACACTGTATATTTTTGCATTATATGTTGTTGGTTATGAGACTATTAATATTCTTAATTTAATTTTTATATATAGTTTGGCGATATGATATTAACTTTGAGCATCATCACCATCATGACGAAGGAGTGCCAAGGCTGGAAGATTTCTTCTACAACTCTCATCAAACCGAGTGTCCTCCTCTAAACCATAACCAAACCAATACCAATTGCGCCACAATGGTTAACAGATTAAGCCCACCCGGTTACCTTCTCCAAGAACAAGCCGTAGCTACACCACAATACTCGAATCAAAATCCGAACCTAAGCCATGACTATGGAGCTTTTGAAGAAGCCGGTTCAGTCTCGGTTTTCAAATCTTGGTTAAGGCAAGATACTCCAACATTTCCACTCTCGAATACTTATGTTACTGAAGAGGGTAGTACGAGCAATATTAGTAATTTTAGTCACGAAGAGACTGATTACAACACAAGTGGCTCGATGCTATTGTTAGCTATGAGCCATGGCGCCACTGGTTCTGATATGACCAACAAGTTGAATGTATCTGTACCGGTGGAAGAACCGGTCAAGCTAGATGAGAAGCGGAAGAGACTGATTGGTAAAACTGAGGTTAAAGAATCGGTTCCTCGGAAGACCGTTGATGGTATCGGACAGAGAACTTCTCAGTATCGAGGAGTTACAAGGTACGTCCGTATTTGAATATTGTCGATGCCTCGAACTTACACGTAACAAGAATGTGAATGTGACGAATGCATACATACACTACTATATTGTTTTAGTAGTTTAATTTATTAAATTGTGCGGACGTAAATATGCACACGTACGTATACAGACATAGATGGACAGGGAGATATGAAGCTCACTTATGGGACAATAGCTGTAAGAAAGAAGGACAAACGAGAAAAGGAAGACAAGGTTAGCAAACAAATTTTAAAATTAATTCAGATTCAATTAAGTACTAACCAATATTGTGATAGAAAGTAATTTATTTTAGATAAAGAAATGTTTACTGACTTTTTTTTTTAATTGATGTCTTATGTACAATCCATTTCCCTTCTTGATCAAATCACAGTATATCTTGGTAAGTGACAACTTTGTTTCAACAACCTCTATACTCTTCTCCATAGGATCCCTCACTGATTTCTTGTTGCCCTAGTTTTGGTTCTAAACTCTATTAAGCTTAACTTTTCTTAATTTGAGGTTATTGAGAAAATTATTTGAACTATAAACAATAATTTTAGAATTACTATAACAGGAGGGTATGATGATGAGGAGAAAGCAGCGAGGGCTTATGATTTAGCGGCTATCAAGTATTGGGGTCCCACTACCCATATAAATTTCCCTGTGAGTCTTTGACGTGGACCCTACCTCCACTTGTAACTATTATATATGCATGCAAACATAAAGTTTTACGAATTTATTGACCTTATGTTGGTGAAACATTATATAGAGCTGACTTGTAATGGAAATTTTGTTCGACGCTTTCAAACTCAGTTGAGTAATTACGAAAAGGAGGTAGAGGAACTTGGAAACATGACTAGGCAAGAATTTGTTGCCATGTTGAGGAGGTAAAAAATCAACTCTAAAACCGCACCACTACTCTCTTCTCAATGTGTACAACATTAATGTACTTATGGTGCTATATACTTATTTAACCAAAAAATTTGTGTGGGAAATTCTCATATATTACCCTATAATTTATAGGAAGAGCAGCGGATTTTCGAGAGGAGCTTCGGTTTACAGAGGAGTCACAAGGTTTGATTTAATTTGCACATAATAATCTTGAGAAATTATGTATATATGCAGTGTGTTCCATGATCATGATCATGCTTGTATAACTTAAGCAGGCATCATCAACATGGAAGATGGCAAGCTAGAATTGGAAGAGTCGCTGGAAACAAGGACTTGTACCTTGGCACATTTAGTATGTAAAAACTTCTATATATGCATGGTTGAATTACATAAGATATTTTATATTTATATACTGTTTTTATTTATATCAAATATTGTTATTGTTATGAAGGCACGCAAGAAGAAGCAGCAGAGGCGTACGATATCGCGGCAATTAAATTCAGAGGCGTAAATGCTGTTACTAATTTCGATATAAACAGATACGATGTGAAGAGAATATGTTCAAACTCTGCGATCATCAATAGTGGCCAGGCCAAAAGTTCTCCCAACGGCTCCAACGCCGGCCAATAACGACCATCCGTGAAAGTCCTTGCGGGAGAAAGGAACGGTAAGACTATTTCGATGTTAAGCTTTGAGGAGTATAAACAAGTTCGTCGATCGGGTCTTATTTATCATCATTGTGGTGTAGTCAACATTAGAGGAAACACCAACGCAACATATTTATCGAATTAGGTTATCAAAATCCAAGATTATTATATTTTAGTATTCTTTCATTGCATATTTGCATGAATGATAAGTTAAATTTATGGTGTTTATCTAGTATATGTATTTTCCTTCATAAAAAAAGATCTACTATAAGCATTACTGTAGTTGAATTTCGTATTTATGTTTTTGTTGAAAAAATGAATGCATTCAATATTTGTACTGAATCCTCCAATCTCCAATTCTAGGACCAATCTCGATAACATAAGCTTGGTTTTTTATTGGTTCTGTCCTTTTTCTAGACCTTCAAGCCAAGATAGTGTTCACTACCACAATGGTCAAGTAGTCTACTATTGTAGCTAGCTTTAAAAATAAAGAAAAATAAAATGATAAAATTGATTCATACCGTTACACAATAATTTGTGTTAGTATCTTCGTTATGTCACTATCGAATCAATCGACTGTATAAAGTGTATATGAATCTCTCTCATCTGCATGACTGCATCTGTACATATAAAAAAAATGTGATGATGGGCCTTATTGATAAAATAATACTATTAAAAAGAAGATCCAAACGGCCCGAACTGAGACGTGGTTTGGAGTTTGGACCCACTGATCTTTAATATACCAAATAACTTCAACCAGTTTCAGTCATCGTTGTTCGGATTCGACTCACCTTCCTAATTAAAAACATAAACAGATTTTACGTTTTTGTTCTTCAGATTTGCTTCTCTTTACTCAAATCGGTTCCTTTGATTGGATTAGTTCTTTTTTCCCATCTGAGATTTTGAGCAAATTTCGAGATTCCTTTAGCTCTTTTTCCCATAAAAATTCTCAGATTTTGCGTTTTCTGTCTCCATGGAACCGCCATTACCGAGTTTAAGACTATTTCTTTTGTGCTTCGTCTTCTTCTTCATCTCTGCTTTCATCTTAGTTGACTCACAATCACAATCACAAGATCCATCCATTTCTCCTCCTCCGCCGCCGCCGCTATCATTAACTCCAACTCCGCCACCTCCTCCGGTGAGAGTCGGGATCAACAAGGCGATTCACGAGAAGCATCATCACCGGAGAAGAAAATGGAGACATAGAAAGAACCAAAACCATCCACGGCCACGGAAGCAGAGGCTCAACACTGGAAAGACGGTGGGGCTTTTCTTCGCCGGTGTAGCGGCAGCTTTGCAAGTAGTAGTCGCTGCTTTCCTGCTCTTCAAAAGACGACAGCTTCTTCTCCGTAAGATCAATGATACACACTGAATCAGAAGAGAATTCGAAGCTATCATTACGCATATCTTCTTCTTCCGATCTGGATCTTATCACACATTGCCGATATTTGCAGTTGGAGTTAAGTCATCTCAATTTTGGTCCTGTAAAATTTTCGTCTCTCAAAAAACTGTTTAGATTTGAGTAATCCGAAATTTCTGATGAAAATTCTGTTTTGCTGCTTTAAATCTTTTATCCTATAGTCAAATAATGTTGGTCTCAATGGAAAAATACTAAATTTTGGTTAGTAAGTGTTAGTGTAAGTTCATAGATTCTCAAATTTGATGATTTGTGTTCTTGATTACCAGCGATTAGATCTTAAGTTAACAAGAGAATGAAGGAGGATTGTAGCATCATGTCTCCTTTTTGTATGGACCTATTGGGTTAATGTCGTACATATCAAGTAGAATAATTGCAGTAGACCGATCTAAACTTATGGATTTTGGGACCACTTTAACCCCATGTGATAGTCTGGTCCTAAAAGTTAGCACACCTTTGTTGTTGTTTTTTGCCTTTCTAAATTTAACACTTCACACTGGTCAATGCTTAGCAAAATGATAACTTGAGGATCTTAAATTGAAAAAAAACTCACATACAATGTAACAATTTTGACAGGTTTTCAAGAATTACAAGGAAAAAAGCAAAACAGAGAAAACAAGATTTCATTAAAAAGAGAAGAAAAAGAAGAAGGAAACAGTGACTGTTTGAGTTAAGGAGTCTTTCTTTAGCCAGTTCCTCCAAGAACACTCTTAAGCTTCTTGACTGTAACAGGGTCAAGGAAAGTGGTACCAACGACGAGATCAGTGGGGAGATTGTTAGCAAAGAGCGCGAAATCAAGAATCTGGAGACCGGGGTTAGCGCTGCTGAAGGTGACAAACGCTGCAGCGTTGGACTTCCCAGCGTTGATCTGGAAATGAAGCAAGCCCTGTGGGAACACCATGATCTGTCCCGCTTTAAGCGTCTGCACGTACACGGTGTTGGCAGAGGAGGAGATAAACCCGGCTGTGATGGAGCCGTCGAGGACGAAGAGAACCTCAGAGGCACCAGGGTGAGTGTGCATTGGGATCACACCTTTAGGAGCCAAGTCAAGTCTAGCTGTGGAGATGCCTAGACCGTTCAGAGCCGGGTACTGAGCGACGAAACCGGGCGTGACCGCGGCGTTGATGATGTTGGTGGTGTTCCCAGGAGTGCCTAAGGAGAAGACGAAGTCTTTGGGTTTGACATGGATGGGACGAATGCAAGGGTAACCCGAAGGGGTTTCGGCTTTTTTGAGGTTTGCGACGCAGAAGTCATTAACAGAGGCGTTGGAGAGAGCGAAGAGGAGAGATAAGAGGAAGATAATGCGCAACATTTTTTGGTTTGAAAGAAGTAACTCTTTTTGTGTTTTGGTTTCTCTATTCTTTCTCTCTTCACTTGTGTGTTTATATAGAGAAGCTGTGTGGTGAACATTCGAAAGACTGGAGATAAGCTTTTGGAAAACCATTATGGACGTCCTAAAAACAAGGACCACCCCCTTAAGATACAAACAAAACGCCTCTTTTCTTTGCCTGCCTGTTATGCATCATTGGATCGTTACTGATCTTAATGGTGATGTAGACACCGATATTTAATTTGCGACGAGGATTTTAGTTTTGATTATAGAAGAAGAAGCCGGTGGATTCGGACTGTGGAGAAGAACAGCGAGCAGACAAAAAAAGAGTGAGCGATTGCTGGACGGACATCAAAAAGTTCAAGTTTTTTCTTTCTTGTAGACTTAACTTGTGGATCAAGTAAGTAGAAGAGAGCAAATCACGTCCGTAAGTGACTCACATTTAGGTTTGGTAGTTGGAGTTATGAGTCAAATGCCAAAAAAAATTGTCACAAGTTGAGTTTAGTTGACGTAGAGAATACGAGGGAGAAGATGTGATTGTGGATACGTATATGTGTTGTAATGTAGTGTGGACCATAGGCACATGTGACGAAACCATTACAAGACACTATTTGACAGCCAGAAAAGAAACTTATGAAAGATGCTTATTAAAGATCCCTTCAAAAATATTTTTGCCGTTTTGCTACTAAACAATGTGTGGAGTAAAACTAAAACGTACAACAACAACGATATCTTCACTATGTGTGTCATTTATGGGCTGAAAACAAATAGGCTTTGGCCCATAAGTGAAGTCTTGGCGGGAAAATCGTAAAGAATAAGAAATATATTATTCAACGCTTAAATATATTATTCATTTTCTTTTATGTATCTTTAGATCTCTCTTTACTCTGTTTAGGTGTCAAAAGAAGTAACTTGCATTTTGCCACACGTAATGATTAATTGCCAAAATGAAACACAGCAAGGCACAGCAGCAAATAGATTACTCAAAAATAACGAAACCGGACTAGACCGAAACAGATTTAAAACGGCTATGATACTCTAATTTTAACAATAATAACCAATTTGTCTCTCCTCTAACAGACACACACACACATGCAACAACGCCACCACTAAACGCCATAACGCCACCATATTTTCCAGAACAATCGATCACAACACTCTCTCTAATGGCGTCGATGAGACTCGTTGTTCGCAATCTCCGCCACTACATTTCCATCGCAATAACTCTCTTCAAGAGCCTCTTTTGGTGTATATCCGATAATTTCGATTACCCGATACTAATCAAGCTCGCCGATTCGTTTTTATCTCTCTATTTCATAGTTTTCTGCGATCTCCGCCCGATCACCGTCGATTTAGACGACGGAGAAACCACCGTACATTTCTGGGTCTCCGGCCACCGTAAAATCAACCGTCCGAACCTCGTCATGCTACACGGCTACGGAGGAAATTCGAAATGGCAGTTTGTTCACCAGGTTTCCGATCTGTCGAAATCGTTCAATCTCTTCATCCCCGATCTCGTTTTCTTCGGGAGATCGCACTCGAGAAACGCAGACCGGACGGTTGAGTTTCAGGCGAGGAGCGTCGTCGGAGGATTGAAGAGGCTGGGCTGCGGCGGGGAATTGGCGGTTTACTCGATCAGTTACGGCGGGTTCGTGGCGTACCGGATCGCGAAAATCTGGCCGGAGATGATCGGGAAATTGGTGATCGTGAGCAGTGGAGTCGGGTTCACGCAGCAGCAGAAGATGACGGAGGTGAAGAAACACGGCGGAGATGTATCGGAGATTCTCGTTCCGAGGAATCCGCGTGATCTCCGGATGTTGGTTAGGGTTTCCATGAATACCGGTATCGCGTACATTGACTGGGTTCCTGATTTCATCCTCTCCCAATTCATCGCTGTGAGCTCTGTTTTCCGTTTTTTCTGAAATTAAATTTCAATTCCGCCCCTTTACTTACGCATTGTTCAAAAACGTAACCATAACATTATGAAAGTTACAAATTAGCCCTCAAATTTTTTGTTTTGTTTTGTTTCAGGTGATGTATGAGAGAAACCGGCAAGCACTTGTTGAGCTAGCTAAGAATTTGCTGGAAAGAGAAGAAGAGCCAGAGTTCTTTGCAATATCACAGGTCATTATTATTTAATTACATTGTTAGGCTGAGATCTTTAATTTTGATCTTTACACATCAGCTTTAAGCCTTTTAACTGAAACTGAATGATTTAAAAATTGGATGATTGTTCAGAAAACGTTAATCGTTTGGGGTGATAAGGATAAGGTCTTTCCATTGGAGCATGGACGTCGTCTGCATAGGTAAAATAATACTTTAATTATTGATTAACAAACGAAATTCTTTAACAGTAATACTAACACATTGTGAATTATGATGTTCTTTGGCAGGAATTTGCCAAACTCGAGTTTAGAGATACTGAAGGAAATTGGACACGGTGTGAACATTGAAGCACCAACTACTCTTAACAATTTGATTACCTCGTTTGTTTTAGGTGTTTCTTTGACTTAGATCTCTGTATATAGCTTTCTGACCATAGTAAATTTACATACAACTACCATATATTCCGAGAATAATCCATATATACAATAGTAGTTAATAATCAAATGTATTTTTACGTGCACCTAAAGTCTCAAAGAATTCAAAATATTACAAAATACAGTTGCATAACAAAATGTCACTCAAAAGTTTATAAAAAACGACAGTCATACTATCTGAAATATCCTTAATAGATAGTGATCATCTGAAAATGCTACTAATTATACAATTAACCAAACCCTGTTTTCAAAAATACAACAATTTAAAATATTCTAGTTTAACCGTGTAGGACCACTGTCACTATTACGGTTTTACCAGAATCTTTACCCGAAATGATTAAAAACGAAAAAAACAATAAAACAAATCTTACGGGTCGGGTCACAGTAATCCGCTCCAGATGTCTGGTTCTGTATTAACCTCCATAACTCTACCAAAATTGAGATGCAGAGCAAGTACAAACCAAAAAAAAGATCTCATTTTTCAAAAGGTTTAAAAAGATAATATATTCCTCTCAAATCTCTCTCTGTCTCAGACTGTTTGTCTACAGACGACAAGTAGATTCCTTTTTCTTTGCTTTCCCAGCATCCAATAATTGTCATATAATTTTCTCTCGAGAAATAAGATTCTTGTTTATTTCCCGAGAAAAAATTTAATCTCGATTTCCTCTCTCTCTGCTATTATCTGTTCCCGGAGCTTCGTTCTTTTCTGCTCTCAAGGTAATCAAACCGGATTTGGAGGAGAGAAAAAAAAAATCCAAACTTTGTATATAAACAAGCTTTTGCTTTTTGGTTTCTTGGTCTTAATTCTTACATTTATAGAATTTACATGTTGATATGATTCTTATGGAACGGTTTCTACTTTTGATGAAATTATCTCACTGTAGGTGAAAGTTCTCTAGGCTACTTATTACAGGAACAGCTTTTACTTCTTCTCTTTTTTATCTATTTATAGATCTCTTTTCAGAAAACATTAATTGGCATCTTGTCCGAAATTGAAGGCTCTGAGATTGATGTATAACTGAAACAAAAAGAGAATTTTATCTTTGCTTTTGTTTGGTGCTAGTATAAAAGTGGAATCTTATGTGAGATCAAGAAGAAGAAGAATAAAGACTGTTAAATGTGAGTTTTTTAAAAGCTATGTAGATTTTAAAACCATCTTTTGTTTGTATTACTGATTTTGTCAAATCCTCAGGAACAAGATCAATCAAGATTTGAGCTTGGTGGGAACAAGAATGGAAGGAGATTTGTTTTCTGGATTTGGAGAGAGATACCAGATGGATGGCAAACTGTTGCAGAATTTCCAGAAGAGCTTTGTTCAGGTTCAAGACATTTTGGATCAAAACCGGCTTTTGATCAACGAGATCAATCAGAACCATGAGTCAAAACAAGCGGATCACTTGGGGAGGAATGTTGGTTTGATAAGAGAGCTCAACAACAATATCAGAACAGTGGCGAGTCTTTATGGAGATCTCTCTCATTCTTTTGCCAGATCGATAGATGCTTCATCGGAAGGTGAATCTACTGGGACCTTGAAATCTGATGGGAAGGCTAATAACCAGAAGAGGTTTAGATCCGGGTAAATGTATCAAAAATGTCGATCTTTACTTCTGTAGATTCAGAGCTAATTTGTGTGTGGATTCAAGAAATGACAGAGACAATTAATATTGTGTATTGCTTGAGAGTCTTCAACAGTTTTACTTTCTGTAATTTCTGCTGAAGTGATATCTACTTAAAAATGTTTATGGCTTTGATTCTGAGATAAGAAAGAAGTTCTTCTTTTGTTGCATTTTAGATCTCTGTTCTACCACCAACTGATGCATTTATGATGACGAGTTAAATTATTTACTATCATCTCTATGCACTTCAAAAGGGTTTTTAGAAATGATGTTTGTCTGTGATTTCTTAGAAATGTTGATATGAACCTTTTTTGAGATAAGTTAGGTATGGAACTCAATTAAAATAAGAAAAAAGGAAAAAGTTCTGAAGTGTACTAAAATAATTCTGATCTAACAAAAGAAGGCCATTAAAGAGAATAAAAGATGATGATGATTCATGTTGCCTTTGTGTTTGCATGATCCTTAAAAGTCAAAAAGACAACAAGAGACTTGTTGTAGTTTTAACTTTAGTTAGGTATTTTATTCCTCCCCTTTTTCTCCATTTGTACACAAGTTTTGTTTTTGTACAGCATAAAGCTTCCTTTTTCCTTTCTTTTATATTAGCTTTTGGACAAGAGAATCCAGCCAACTTTTTGGGTCACTTCATGTTGTATTGCAACTCTTTTCTAAAAATCAAAATTCCTTGCATCACACAATCTCCTTTCATTAACAACATCCATTTTCCAATCAGCTTTCTTTTGGGTATTTTAATAAAACCATAAAAGTGAAGGTATGTATATAATAGTCTCCATACTTTGGTAACATCACATGCTTGCTACAATACATTCTTATGGAAAAGAAAAACAAATGATTTGATTAGTACCAAAGGAGACGAAAAATATGCATTGAGAGTTTGAGACCCATATCAAATAAAATATGTTTTTAGATATAGACAATGATAACCTCTAATCCAATGTTCTTGTTCATCTCAACTTCAAACCCTTTTACTTCTTTTCACTCTGTTTCTGCATCACTTTCATCAACTGTCCTTCCCAGTCAGAGACAGCCTCTTCTCCATTCGAAACCTGACCAAAATCACAAGCCTCAATCAGTAACAAATACTTCTTTATATTGGAAGCAACATCAACAAAACTGTTATCTAACCTCAAATATCAATCCTGTTGGTGGAACCACGCTTAGAGCTTCGACACATATACGAGCAGCGTCTTCCTTGCTTATGCTTCCTTTGGCTGCAGCACCCTGATTTTCCATTTCATAACAATGTCACTGAAACTAACCGGTAAAAAATTTCAACATTTGTTTTTTGTCTTTTTATCAATTACAAGATTGAACTTTACTTTGCTAAAGTTGAATCCTTGGTTCCCTCCAGGACTGTCCTCCAGCTTCCCTGTTCTTATGATTGTATAAGGCACTTTCGAAGATATAACCGCGTTTTCGTCTCCCTCGGCCAGTTTCTTCGCTTTGTTATTCATCATAGCTTGAATCCCGCCGCTGCTTTCATAAACAGACAACTGCAGCTTCATTAAATCATGATCTCACAGCCACAAAACATACCAAAGGCAATTGAGTATGACTAGACCAAAGTCATGGAGATGTATCCTTACCTGAGACAAGAGAACTGCATGTTTTACACCTCTTAAGCTCTTGACATTCGATAAGAAACCTTCCTGCCAAGGAAAAGAATGAAATGTTTGATCTTTTGTATCATTGTACAACTCGATCAAAGAATGATGAAGGGTTTGGTTAAATGTACCGTTGGAGATATGATTGCAGCAACGCCTTTAAAAGCTTTCCTCAAGTAACGCTCGTCGCTTGCATCTCCAGACGTCAGCTTCACAATTTTAAATTTAAGTTTTTTCCATTGAATGTTTGCCAAAATAAGTGAAGAGAATCAAACAGACAGCAATGAACCAACCTCAACATAAGCTCCAAAAGCTTCTAAAGCCTTTCTTTTGTCCTTGACAAGTGCTTTAACACGAGTCCCTTTCACAATCAGTTGCAGTATAATCATCTACATGAGCTAAAAATTAACACTTTTTCAGTTTCGTTTTTGTTGTTACATCCAATGCATGATGATGATGAATTGATGATTCTGTGAAAAGCTTGTAAACACACACCTGACCCAAATCACTGTCTCCATCCGTTACAAAAACAGCGTCTTTATCTCCATCACCATCATCTTCTTCCTCTGTTTCATAAGTTTCAAACGAATTAGACAAATGCAGATAAATTTCATAAATTTCTTGCAGTTTGGTTATATATACCTTCGAATTCATCGTCATCTCCACTTGAAGTTTCATCCTTTGGCACAAGTTTAGGAGCTCCATACCATTTCCTTAGCTTTGGACCGCCTTAGAACAAGAAAACACATACCAAACGAACAAAAAGGCTTCAGCTTTCATCAACACCCAATTTCAATTTTTTCATGAACTTGAAGAATTGAAACTGAAGCTACCTTCGATGTAATCGAGGATCTGATCGACAAAACTGATTTTCTTCTTAGCCAAACAACGAACAAGACAGCGGTTTCCAGATGTGATCAGAATTGGGGATTTAGCTTCTGAGATCGAAGAAGAGAAGAGTAAAGAGGGTCCTTGACTTAGGAGAGATGAAGGAAGAGAAGTTCCCGCCATTGTCTTCAACTTCAGAGATAAGAGTTTCGTCCTCGCCTTACCTCACTAGATCACGAGGTTCACTGTAACCCTCTAGTCGGAAAAGAGGTTCTCTGGAAACTGGTCCCGGATAAGATTTATTGGGACGCTCTATTGATCTGCCAGCTGTCGAAAATCCACATCTTTCATTTTGGAACCTTATCATAACGTTATGTGGTTTTGATAAAGTTTGAGGCTTTCTTCTTCTATTTCATAGTAGTTCATAACTGTTTGCTTGATTGGTACTAAATTTCTTCCCTTTTCCGGGCATAGCTTCTATGAGTCTCTTTATTCATAAATAGTCTTCTCGTTTGACTCTATATTACTTGATATTCATATTGCAATAGTATAGTCACACCACTCTTGCTTTGAGATTTTTGTTTTGATGAGACCAACCCACATGCTTTAGATTAAAATAGAAAAAAGGAACATGTCACAGAGAGGATCCATTTAGCTTTTTTCATCAGATTAGTTTATCTTTCTTGGTCTTGTTGTTTACTTCTACTTCACGGGAAACAAGCATCTACATCTTGATTTTGACTCCCTCTGAATTGTTACTTATGTAAAAAACAGGTTTTGTTATGATGATCTTTTTATGTTGGTTGATTTCTTATTAGCATTGATCCATCTCTGCTCTATCCTTACACCAGATTTGATGGTGTAAGAGATCCAGAGACAATGCTTACATTAACATGGAGTTTAATAGTCTCTCTGAACTCTTTATGTCCAAGTTCTTGGCAGTTCGGAAGCACCATACATCGGTCACATATATTGTTTTCCTTTAGCATGTTCTAATGGTTAATTTTTCTGTCTATACATATCAACTTTAAGTTTTCCCATGAGACTTGTTTTCCAAAAAATATCACATTCTGTTCAATTGCAAGCTTCGTTTGAATGAATCATATTGATGGTAAACTTGGTTGTTGTGGAATTTCATTTTCACTATTCCTCATCCAAATACATTCAATGCTAAGATGCTATGAATAAATTATGTCAATTCAAACAAATACATGTATCTAGTGGGAATATTCCTTAGCTTCTACATGTCCTAAAAATAGGTAGTTACCATAAGACTGTTCCACCAAGGTTAACATAGATTTCATTAACTGGAAAGCTGAGTATATAGTATGGTATCATGAGGATGGCGATGACTCGTCCTTGTTCTTGTTCTTCTCCGTAGATCTTGTTGGAGCATTGCTTGTGATGCTACTCCTTATGTTCTGCACAAACGAAACATACATTTTTGTGAGAAGTTAGCTTTGCAAGTTACATACAACTAAGTAGGCTTCAGTAAATAAAGGGATCAAAGAACCGTACCATGTGCCTTAAGGCCATATCAAGAGACGACCTAGAAAGATTTCTCCCGAAGCCTGAGCTCAGGTTATCTTTTTATTCGTAAATAGTCTTCTCGTTTGACTCTATATTGCTGTTGGAACCTAAAATTAATAAGCTTATGGACTGAGTTAATTTAAAACAAGTGTGAAAAGAAATGAGCTTTGGGCTCATAAGAAAAATGAGAAAGTAGAGAATAATTGATAAATCTAAATTAATTTAGATTGAGTCAAAATTAAATATGGAATATCTCCATATCTCTTTCAGTTTCAAAACAGGAAAATATCCCTGTGATATTCCTTTTTTTCTATGACGGTTTAAGGCTTTAAGCGATATTTTTTTTTCTATGACGGTTAAAGTTTCTTAGCTTGGAGACCAAATCTCTTCTCTATTATAAATAAAGGCCTAGCCTTCTCACATTATTCATTCAATCATTTATTCAAAAATTAAACACTCCAACAAATCTCTCACATCTATTTCTTTCTTCTCTAATTGCTTTGATATTCATATTGCAACAGTAGTCACCATTCTTGCTTTAAGATTTTTTTTTTGTTTGTCTCTTTTTTGTTTTGATGAGACCAACCCACATGCTTTAGATGAAAATAGAAAAGGGAACGTGTCAGAGATAGTTCATTTAACTTTTTTCATCAGATTAGTTTCTCTTTCTTGGTCTTGTTGTTTACTTCTACTTCACGGTAAACAAGCATCTACATCTTGATTTAAACTCCCTCTGAATTGTTACTTATGTAAAAAACAGGTTTTTTTTTTTTTTTTTTTTGTTCAAACAACAGGTTTTGTTATGATGATCTTTTTATGTTGGTTGATTACTTATTAACATTGATCCATCTCTGCTCTATCCTTACACCAGATTTGATGGTGTAAGAGATCTAGAGAAGATGCTCACATTAAAATGGAGTTTAATAGTCTCTCTGAACTATCTATGTCCAAGTTCTTGGGAGTTCGGAAGCACCATACATCGGTCACATATATTGTTTTCCTTTAGCATGTTCTAAATGGTTGATTTTTTGTCTATACATATAAACTTTTAAGTTTTCCCAAGAGACTTGTTTTCCAAAAAATATTACATTCTGTTCAATTGCAAGCTTCGTTTGAATGAATCACATTGATGGTAACTTGGTTGTTGTGGAATTTGATTTTCACTATTCCTCATCCAAACACATTTTATGCTAAGGATTTGGAGTCTCTTTTGAGCTTGTAAATTTCTTGACATCTTAATGATCTGCTATACACTTGCCTGTTTGATGATGGGTTTGTGTTTAGCAAGTTTCCACTGTTTCAGTGGCGCAGCGTAAGAACGTGATACGTAGCTCAATCAAGGGATTGATAATCTCTTGAGACCTACCTTGCTCAATCAAGGGATTCAAGTGAATCTCTTGAGACCAACTTCCTGTTTTGATGACGTTAATCAAATCAAAGACAAGGGATAAGAGAAATCTCTTCTTTAATAAACTCCAAAACTGCCCGACAATTACATAGAAGCAAAGCTTATATAGAATACATAAACCCTAATCCTAATCTTAGGGAAAAGGAAAAGCCTAAGCTTTAAAACCCAAAACAAGTAAATAAACTTAAATCAAAATAGAAAAGCCCAAAACCCAAACACTTAAGCAATAAACGAAACTTGTCTTATAAGTTATGATGCTGCTGCATCATTCAGCCTTTCAGGAGAAGATGGTCTACTCATGTATGCCACTTCCTTTCATGCAGCAAAAGGACCATTGTTACAGGAGAAAAAACTTGTCCCCATTGAGGTCTCAAGGACTATATTTAGCAACAAACGTGTGTAAAAATTATCTTTTTAAAGAAACTATGTATTCTTCTTTTAGTTTGTAAAAGACCAAACTTCTCTATTAATCATGTACTATAAATTTATCTATAAGTGAAAGTAATTGTTTAATCTGGACCTCGACTAACCGAAATACCTACCTACTCCAACGGAAGTTCATTTCGTCTTTGTATTTGTAAACGGCACGTAGTCTTAGTTTAAATTTACCAGATGACATGGTGTTTCTGTACACGTGAGCTTAAACGGAACGTAGTTCATTTTGTTTTGGAATTATTCAGCTAATTGACTGACGTGGCAATGTTTCAATGTCGGACCAAGCTTAACTTAACTCAACTATATACGGATTCCAAATCTCCAATTCACAGAATAAAAAGATTTCGAGTTAATAAAAGGCTTTCAAGTCCGGACTCGTTATTAGCTCTACGCACTGGAAAAAAGCCGAAAGCGAGCCAACAAAAAGCAAAGCAGGACCAAAATTTTCCAAATTTCTTTGCCTTTTTCGCTTATCCAAGAAAGCTTTCTCCTCTGAAATCGTCTTCGATGAATCCAATGTTAGACATGAATTCATCTCCGACGCTCTGAGTTTAACGGAAATTGTAATCGCTTTTTGCTGTAATTGTCACTCGCCGGCGACTAACTCAATTTCCCTGTGGTAAGCATTAGAAATTCCTCTGTTTTATTCGTTTCTGTATTTTGAAGCTTTTGATTTTCGTTCTTTATGGATAAGATTTTAACTGTATCTGAATTGCATTCGAAAATTCGATTGAATATGCCTAATTTTTTGCAATTGACTGTGAAATCTGCAAGCTCTTCGTTTGTCAGTTGTGAGACTTGCGAATTCTTTGGAATTTCAAGATGTGGAATTCAAAGTTTTAGTCTTTTAGATTAGTGTTTTCTTTCCTCTTCAAAGGCCTTACATTTGTTGTAAAAATAGATACTTTCTCGCTCAACTTGAGGAAGAGAGTCCTATAGTACTAATTTCATTTATGAATCAATGATAATCCATTTTTGGTTTAGATTGGTGATGTAAAATTGCGCAGAGATGCTGTGAATTGGACCAAATGGTAAATCTAATGGAGGAAAGTATATGCAAATTTGCAAACTTTCTAAACCTCTGTGAGAGATTTTCTCTGTTTCTTTCTTTGGTCAAATTTATGTATATATGTATATGTCTGCGGCATATTTTCTCTTTCTTCTTGAAGAGTATAGTGACCTTTTTCTTGTTTTGGATTTCAGGCTGTGTGTTTGAGTTGAGTTCGTGATGGGAACTGTAGTTGGAAGTGTTGATGACTGCAGAGAGATGTTTGAGGGCAGTGCTCAAACAAGGATCTCACCGTTTTCTTCTACAAATCAGATTGGAAGTCCTGTTGCCTACAAACTCGTCCGGGTATGGTTACATATTCTGTCCTTTTCAATGTCTCTCGTCACAGGGATAACAGAGTTCTCATAGGGTTTTGCTTCTCCTGGAATTGAGAAATCTATCTGTGTATGTATGTATTAGCCTTTTCTTCAAAATATTAATTTTAGGTGGTTTATGTGAATGGTTAGGTTGCAGGAGATGGGAGCCTAGTGCCCGCAACCGATGAAGAAATTCTGGAGGTCAACGAGACAGATATGCATATTGCAACAGATGCTACTAGTCAGGCTGAAGAGTTACCTTCTCGGTCGTCTCAGCTAGAAAGTTCTGAAGGTTTGGTTCCCATCATTCTTTACTTGTTGAAACCTCTCTTGCTTTTAAAACTTGTGCATCTGTAGATGGAATTTAGGTGGAGAACCAAAGTTATTGGTTTCCGTAACCAATCTGTAGATGTGTATCAGTCAATCGCACATTCATAGGAAAGGA